ACTTTTAAGTCTGCCTGCATATTTTATGCTTAGTGTTATTAGTGTTCTAGTCAGCCATATGTCCAGGAGCAAAACACACAGTCAATGAGTCATTGTTGTGTTGTGACTGCTAACATATGCTCACTTTTCTGTTACAGTACATCCAGTGGATCTAGTGGATGATCTCATTTATAGTGAAGCTTAATGGGGGGAAATAAGCAGCATCACCAAATAAAGCTTCCTGGCTTTCACTCCAATTATGACAAAACTGCATCCAGGAATATTACTCACATTATAAAAGGTGGTTATTTGTTAAAGCAATACTAAAGGTCACTGTGTGCTCATCTACAATGAACAGACATTAAAAATTAATTGAAGCTGCGAGAGAGAAAAATCCATCCAGAAAAAGATTAGAGAAGGCTAACCAAACAGAGGAAGAGTAAAGAAGGTGTTATTTTCCATGAGTCGACTGCAGTAACAGTGCCCGTCAGGCTGTCAGGGAGCAAGTAATGAGCTCTACTTCTACCTGCTGAATATTTGATGTGTTTCTGTAATAGAGAAGAGATAAGCCAAGCAGGCCCCTGCAGGACCAGTGATTGGACTGTGCACACGTAGATTCAGGATGAAATTACCGCCACACTGCAATAGTTATATAATGATCTTTATCTGATGCCACAACACTCAGAAGGTTAGGACAGGTCTTAAATGAGTAGATCTTATATAATGTAAATTCACGATAAAGAACATTTTCCAACAGGTTAATGCAGCATATGTGGATATAAAACTGTGTGAGCAGGAAGAATGTAGAGGAGTGCATGATGCATTGGATTAAACCATGCAAATGTGTAAAATGTTTAATGTAAGCAATTTTATTGTCACCCTAACATGTCCAGAGTACAAAAGTGTACACACTGCAGACTTCAGCTTTATTTGATCAAATGAGAGGTAGCCTGGGCTGCAAACTGCAGCGTGTTTAATAAACGTGCCAGTTTGTGGAAACACTGCACTCGCCCCCCCCTCGCCCTCACCCTGCAAGATTACCAGCCCATCTCGTGACTGAAAGCACTTAAGAACACTGCCAAATAAAATGCCCTGTAGTCCTTCAATCAGTCCTTGTGCCTCACGGTACACCACTCAGGAAAATGTGGAAAATATAAAGCACTAATCATTGTGTACCATAACAACTATAACGAAATTTATAAATAGGTAAATCTTTGTGTACTTTACCAAAGTTATTCCTCTGAGGAAACACTGATTCTCTTTTATCCAGGTGACATTAGGGTGAAAGTCAAATAACCTCTGTTTGCTCTTCTGTTCTTAGTCACAGAGAAGGAGGAATGTTTGCCAGTGTGCTGGGAAGCAGAGATTTGATACCGGTCAAGAGATCTAGACTCAGACCAATCCTCTGAGTCTGCTTGCTGAGCTGAAGGCAGAGGAGCTTATCTCTATTGTCCAAACAGATGAAATCAGTGTTGATTTCGTACCACTTCTATATAAAGCAGTCGCCGCCACTGTTCTTTTCCATTTATTAATCTTTTATAATAATGAATCGCATGCTTTTAAACAACGATTGCTGGAGGAAAATGTCACGAGTGAAAATAAATCTCTACAAAATGAGGAGTGCCTGCAGAGCACACCCTTCAATATAAGATATCAGTATTAATATGTTGATAAAATGTCAAGTCCAATGCACTAAAGCTACTGAAGCTCTTTAAATGTGACTTTCAATTTAACACTTACTAAAATGTTCTGTAGAGAAAAGAAATGTACCACTGGTGATTTCATAATAAAGTCCAAAAAACTGTTCATATTGCCCAGTTTATTTACACAGAACAGCAATTCTTAGTAAAATATAAAAAGGCTGATTCAATGCAGAACGTGCATTCTCATGGATGATATTGTAGTCTGATATTACAGAGTCCCAAAACGTAGACACACGTAATCTCTTTCAGAGCAAGAAATCCCCTCTTAAAGATACAAACAGCTTCGCAGTACAGAGTGGCCTAGCCTCATACTGCTTTTAGGTCATGAGTTGTTTCGCTAAATGAAGCTTTAAATGCTAAGGGGATTAGACTGGTGGGTGACTGCATTCTGATGGAAAAGGGTAGAAGAAAATTAAGTATTAAAGTATTCTACCCGCTGGGATACAAGCAATCTAGATTGGTTTTAAACCAGAAAGGTCTGAATTGCAGAACCTGCACAATCACAGAAAAAGGCTTCGGATTGGAAGTCCTGGTGCTTTTAATATTCACTTTGAGGATATGTGACCTGCACCAAATACTTTCAGTGATTTTGTTAGAATTTGTTATACTGTGACTGTATTTATTCTGAATATAAGAATATATATAACTGGATATATTTGCTAATGATGTGCTACATTCCATTTTACTTTGTAGTGTTCAGTCATGAGCTTCCCTTTCATATTTTATTAATCTGTGGTATCTAGAACACAGCTGCCTCTGACTCTGCAGGTATAAATGCCATAAAATTATAGATGTCTGCATGAAACTGAGTGGGAGAGACATTCCAAATTGAGGCACTTAAAGCAGCTCAAGTGTCAGTTGAAGCTGAACCTATAAAAGGGTGCTTGAGTGTCAGCTGAGATTAAAGCGACCCATCAGAAATGTCAGTCAATACTTGAGCACTAAAAGCTTCTAAACAGTCGATGGGAGAGAATTTTTCAGAAACAGAAATGTTATTATCATTGTATTCTCAGTTATAAAGTTTGGTGTCAAGAGTATGGTGGAAGATTGCAAGACAAAACTGCTTATGGAATGCTAGGGGTAAGCCTAATAAAGAAAAATGCACTTTAGCATGTATCATTAATGATAAATGCATGATTAGTTTTGTACAGCGATGTAAAATAAGGAGATTATGACAATCCCAGAGAATAAAGTTTAAATGTCATCCAGGGGACAACAATTTTTGCTTGACTTAGACAGAACTTTTCCATGCTGTCTGTTATTTCCACAGTCTAGAAACCTAACCCACAGCAGACATAAGGAGACAAAGTTCCATCAATTAGGCAAATAACTCTCGCCTCCCAAAATCCAGAAATAATCTCAGGATCCTCTGGAGAAAGGTGTTCCGGTCACAGCAGGTGCTATATATGTTCATTCCATCACCTTCTTTGTTCAGTTCACTTCTGTAAGGCAACTTCAAAATGATGATTGGCAAAAGCATTAGGGTTTGGAGATGTTATTACTATGTATTTAGTTTTTTATTATGTTCAACCTTTTCCTTTTCTCCACCAAGTGTAGTAATTAAAATTGGGTGACAACTGTAAACTATTCTGTAAACAGTAAACTAAGGGTCAACATCCAAGAAAAATTACAAGCTGCATTATGTAATTTATAACAAATCTATTCGTGTTCTGTTTGATTTAGTTGACAGTAATGGTTTGCTTTTCGCTTCCTGCACTCCCCTAAACTGATCCAAAACCCACAGTCCTCGCATATCGAGGTTACAAATCCTTACTATGGAAGAATATCCATCTGTGATGGCCTAAAATAGCCAACATAATCCCTGCAATAGCTCCCTGTTGAGGCAGAGATACAGGAAATGGCACATCAATAATATTGCCTAACCCAAGAGAGTGCAGCTCTCCTGTTACCTCCCATCACGTTTCTCAGAAGTCACAAATGAACACTGTAAATCAAACCAAATGCACCCTCCTGCTACACTGTTCAGAAAGCACCAATCTGAAATGTAATAATAAGGAATTAGTTTTAGAGCAGATAGAGGATTACATTCAAAAGCCTGGTGGTTACCACAAGTCTAAAGTGGGTTGTCAGCATCACGTGTACTCACGCTGCAGAGTGCTCTCTAGCTGGGAGCCTGCCTGTAGAAGGCAGCGGTAGCTCTCCATCTCCTCCTTGGACTCTTTCCTCAGCTCTCTGTCCTCCTGCAGTGAGGCTGGGCCCATTCCCTTCGTCTCTGACACGAGATCAGCCAGAGGAGAACTGACGCTACTTTTGGGAGGTAGTGACAGTATCCCGGGCCTCACATCCTCTTCACAGCCCCATGGCTCTCCATAGCCATTTATTTAAACAAGGAAAGTTTTTCCACCTCCCTCCGCGGGTCCCAAGATCCAGATGGGACAATTCCCCGAGGCTGCCACTGGCTGTTCCTGACCTTGAGCTGCATAGAGCGCCTCCACACTGAGCAGCACAGCTACGACAGGAGAACTGTCCACACAGGCAAACAAAACACTAGTATGTTGTCTCGTTGTCGCCCCGAGCGAGTGCGAGGTTTCCCCCTCCACCCTGCCCTGCTCTCAGCAGCAGTCAGCTACTTCAAAACAAACAGAGCTCCTCCATCTGGACACTGCTGCCTCCCTCTCCCCTCTGCACTCTCCGTCTCTCTGAACATTAATGCGTCAGCTCTGCATCGCAGGGCTCAAGAGTCCGGACCCGATATAGTGCCAACTCCCTCCCAACTTTTCTGCTCTCTCACACACACCAAGCCTTCAGCATGTCACTGACTAACAGTAGCCTGAAGTGTTAGGCTGCTTGGCTATCATGCTCATGTGCCTATTTCTCCAGTGTCACTATAATATAGATGCACAAACTGAGGAGAATAGCGCCATTGATAAAAAATTAAAATCTTCCACACCCTCAGCCAACAAGTTTGACCCTTGTGAAACAGCCTTTAATACACAACAATCACATTCAAACCGAAGAACAAATATGAAAGAGTGGCATTGTGTACATACTGTTGCAGTGTCTCTCTCTCAACCCAACTCCCCACAGCTCAGCCCACAACTCCCTGGAATAGATCAACTGCAGAGTGCAGAAAACGTGTAAATATGCATGTATGTAAATCTCTCCTATACAGTGACGGCGATTTAATGTTTTGTTTTTTTTAATCCGAGGCCATGCATGGAGCAGTGGGAGAGCAGTCACTCAGCTGATCCAGCTTAGCCTCTCAGCCCCCCCCCTCTCAGGCACACACATTCAGATCTTCCATCAGACAAAACCTGCTGACACAACATGCGGTGCAAAGCAGCACAAAGCAGTTTGTATATCTTCAAAACATTCTGCTTTATTAAAGAACAACATCTGGTTTTTAATATAATTTTTTTTTCAAAGAGGTACATTCAGCTTGGAGGTTTAGAGTGTTGAAGCTGGAGACCCAAAAGGCTGGAGGTGGCAAGATGTCCCTGCTGTGCAGAACTGCTGCTGTGCCCACCTCCACCCCTCACAGACAGGGTCCGCAACCACAAAGCCTCTCGTGCTTATTTTTTTTTTTCTTTTTTTAACATTTTGATTTTATAAAAAAAAGTGGCTGGAAAAAGGTTGCATTAAAAATACAATCCATTCTTTTTACTTTTAATTTAGACAGGCAAAATTAGATTTGAACACATTTTAAGCTTCGAAAATAGCATTTCTTTTTTCCATATATATGTAACTTAAAGGTTTATATCTGGTAACAAAGCAGGCAGCCCCTTCTGTGAATCATCTTACATCCAGTTATCTCTGGCACAGGTCTTTAGGTGACCAAACAAAACAAAAACAAAACAAAACCCCTGCTTTCCATATAAATCCTTAAAGTCCCTTAGGCCTAACAGCTGCATTTGCCATTGTGCAGATGATTTTTTTAAATTTTATTTTTACAGCTATTTAGGTTACAGTCAGGGGGATTTAATACACAGCATGTTTGAGCAGAGATCAGCGAAGCAGTAGTTAAAATCATCATAAAGACATATTCTATACAGATTGGCATCTAAACATAAATAATCAGTAACAATGATCGCTTTCAACTTCAACTTGCAGTTAAACCACCAGACAAAAAGTAGTGGCATTGGGTCCGAGGCTAATTTTGGGATGCTGAATGTCTTCACAGAGGAGGGTCTGCCTGCCTTTGTGTAGATAAAATTGACTATTTAATGACACTGGCACAGTCTCACAACAGAGCTGTAGTAAAACAGGCCAACTAAAATGACACAAAGCAGAACACGCTCCACAATTTAAAACTGAAAGTAATAAAAAATATAACATTTGTGAGTCAAATTACATTTACTTAATAAATATGCAAAGTACACAATATACACTTGTGAAGAAAAGAAAGGGGGAAAAAAAAGAAACAAACCAAAGCATCATCAAAAGAGTCTGAAATCATGTAATTATGTTTAAATGGAATGTATGAAGCACTACACACAAGTTAAAGGAAGAAACAAGGGGCCGAACGGTCCACTCCAGAGAGTAGAGTCTCACAGTGGCATTAACTATTCCGATGAAGCTGGTTTTCTTTAATCCCCAACTTCAGCCTGACTGAGACAAAATAAGCAAACTTGTAAATGGCTAAGAATACAAATACCTCATTTAGGCTCTAGTACATGTGTGACATTATGTGTAAGGTGGTTACTGTTCGTGTAATGTTCTTCTCTGATATGTGCGTGTGTGCGCTCAGGCATATATTCATGTGCCTTGGTGACCATCTACACAATGCAGAAACCAGTTTCCTTAATAGTGCAGAAAATGTCTAACAGAACTACATCAGTAAGGTTTCAAGTAATCCTGGTTTACATTACACACAGGCATTTGTGGCTATTCTCACCCAGTGCATTTGCCCTACACTTGTGTCACACCCATACAACAAAACATCACTTTTAGGGCACGTGAGTGCGGACAGACTGATCGCATTGCGTTCATGTTTTTGGCTTCGAGCAGATGCTAACAATATATCTCTATACTACTGTACATATATTAACTTTCTCATTCAAATCTGACTCTCTTGAACTATCTCTGAGGTTGGAATATTGGAGGTGACGCTCCAAGCAATGTCTCATTGCCAGAATATCCTTAAAATCTCTAATGCATTTCTTAGCCTTACATAAACACACACAGTTTTTGGACTGAGGGTTGATATGACCTCTGCTGACCCCTCATATCTTATTATTCAATATAAATGGCATTACTAGATACAAATAAACATCTACAACCAGAAAACCACTTTAACAGTCGTTAAGCTGATCTGAGCTGGGCTGAAATCACATTCAGTAACTTTTCATCCCAAATGATTTGGATCCGTTGAGTGTGTTTACTAAAATATTTGAAACAATTTAAAACTTAACAGTTGAAAAGTGTAATAACACTAAAGTAGAATAACCTCTGAAACTGTTGATAATATATTAAAAAAGCTTGTAGAATGCAGAGACTAAACGTTGGTGGAGTTGTGTTCTTTTGAGCCTTCTTTCATGCACATTTAGCATTCTTGAAGTGGATATTTCAGCTGCTTGTTAAAACAGCAGATGAATAGAGCTACTGACAAGGCAGCCATGTATGCATTCGTTTCTATAGTAAGGTACAAAAAAAAAAAAAAAAAAGAAAACTCATGCCTGGGGTCTAAGTAGATACTGTATAAAAGAATGTAGAGCACTGCTCTGTAAGCATGCATGAGAGGTGGCTGCTTTTTGAGGTTGGACAGCGAAGGACGGAGAAGGAGACACACAAGTCAAAAGACTTTTAAACCCTCTCAAAGGACCGAACGTGTTTCTTCTGATTTTTTTCCATCTCCTCCTTTCAGATGGCAGACGGTCTTCCTTGGTACGGGACCCTGAATGAGGTTGACGTGACTGTTATGAGTCCTCGATGCCTTTTAGTCGCGCTCCTTTAGATGCTTGTACGATAGTGGCATTACTGCTGCAATCTGAAAAGGATTGGGTGAGCAGATGTTACCTGATGCCTTCGTCATAAGTTCATACCAACAAGAGGACAAGGACGAGACACCTTGAAATCACACCCCAAATGAATAAGCAGTGATTAACAACATGAAAGTCACTACAATGCCACCGGTTTCCTCCACCAGATTAAAAAAGAAATTAATAAAGGAAATGATCCCGATTTGATCCAAGTCTACTGAATTTCTGAAGCTCAGCAGCGACACTAAGCAAATACAGAAGGTTAGTGCTGACTTTTTGTTTACCTTGATGTTTGTAGGAGGGATTCCAATGATGGCTACAGGGAAAGTAGAAATGTGAGTTAAACTCTGCAAGCTGTCATACAGTCTCTTTCTAAAATTGCGCAACCAGAGACGATGGTCAATAGTGACAGATATGTGCAACATTCAGTCCTTCATCCAGGGGGTGGACAAAAAATAAATGTAAACACCTAAGGATATTTAGCACAACATCACAACACAATGGCTGCTTTTCATTATTGCGGTGTTTACATTTTTTTGTGTTTGGTATTTTTTTTGTCTACCCCCTGTCATGAAGTAGCATTTGGGCAGAGCTTATGCCAACATCACATCATGCACCGAGTCATGCAATGCACTCACATATAAAACAGTAAGCAGACAGCCACGACCAATTAGGGTTTGGATATACACACAGAAGACAGTGACCACGACAAATGATTAAACCACATTGTTACAAACAGCACAAATATTTCAGAAAATGGGGCCAAAATCATAGGCCAGCCCTGCTGTTTCACACTGTTGGGTAAAGAGGATGAAACCACCACAGACACTTCACACACAGACACTCTTACAAGGTCCAAAAATGCGAGAGGCTGAAATAAAAATTTGGATTTGAAAGCACATCTGCGCATGCAGAAAGGTAAATACAAGCTGGGCATCGAAAGGGAGGCTGAAAGGAGCACGAGCTTGCACAAAAAAACAAAACAAAAAAAACCCAAAAAACTTTTGAAAGATTAGGTCAATGGATGCTTTCACATATCAAGTGAATGCACCATTTGGTCAGTTTAATAGAAATGATTAAACAAAACAAGAGGCATGGGAAAAGTGCATCTCTTCAGCCAGCCAATATGAGCCTAACACAACACACAAGAACACAAAGAGTCTAAATAAATGCGGCCTTTATGCTACCGTCTTTGATTTCCTTGTTAAAACTCAAAGTTAGAGATGAGATAGCTGCTGGACTGGTTGACTGGGGGAGCAAATCACTGATTGGCTTAAATGGCCTGAAAGTTGGCTGGTACCTGTTTAACTGACAGTATTGGACTCATCTGAAAAGGTTCTCATGAGCAGGGGCCTGGCTGACGACCGGGGTGACTGGATGCCCCCTGCGCTTGACTGAACCAGCTTCTTCTAGAAGGGTGAGGCAAGAGACACCAGTGACGACACTACGCTGATAATCACATACATACTTTGCCTTTCTCACCATCTTGTGCTCTCTTTTGCACACAGACATAAATATATAAACAAAGAACAATTAAATACATTCAGAAAGACTTCAAAGTAGACATGTAGACAATGAAAATTAATCCAGGAGCCATTTTAGACAACCCTTCTAGGAATGATCCGTTTTGGAAGCCCTTTAGTCGACTTTTTAATAGGTTCAAATAATATAGGGTTACTATTCTTGCAAATTTCACAAAATAAGTATGTCTTAAGACATATACAAACACACACTCACACAAACACACACACACTGTCAGGCTTGAGGATCCAGGATGAGGTTGTGAATTTGGGCCTCATGCAGGTACGTTTGGATGCTGTGATGTGCTGCAGCCACCTGACTGGACATGCGAAGGCAGCAGGCAGTGGAGCAGCAAAGGCAGCTGGGAGGAGACACTGACTGATACAACTAGGCAGACAAGCATGGCAGACTAACAGCAAGTTTTTAGCATGGACAACCTGTCCTACTCCACACTGCTGGAAGAGATGGCAGCGTGCCATTCTTCCCAGTGTCACAAAAAAGAAAATCCCTCAAGTCAAGGTTTAAAATGGTGCCTTCCAAGGATAGCATTCCTGATATGTGACACAGTACATCAGAAATTTGAAATGTCTGACCTAATCTGTCCAAGCAAATTGGACTATTAAAATCTACAAAACAGCAGCCTGAGTTATTATAGGTGAAGAAAGGAGTCGAAACAGTGGGAGAGGAAGGACACAGAAGTAGGAAGCAGGCAAGTGGTGCACAGACACAGAAATTCTGAAGTATAAAAGCTGACAAAGAAAAAGAGACCTCAGTCAGTCCATGAGAAGCTGTGAGAGCTAGCGGTCTGTGACAACATGAAGATAGTGGATGTCCCAGAGGAAGGAAGGCGATGTTTCATCTTTAGGGAGGATTGTCCAGAGAAGTAAGAGAGAAGGAAATAAGAGGGTGAGATAGTTATGAGTGTGTTAAAGAGCAAAGCATTAGCACTAGTTAGGAAAAAGTAGGAAAGGTGAAAAATGAGCCTAAAAAATAAAAATATGTGCACCATACGTACGCAAGTACTGAATATTGTACAAATCTGCAAGTTATGTGGCTCTCCACAAATATGAGCAAAACTTCTCATTTAGTTTATTACTTCTCCCCCATCCAAAAAAGGAATAAAAATCAAGTCTAGACACAATACCAAAAAACCCACAGAAAAGAGCAAGAATACCACCAATCATTTCCATCTGCTTGCAAACACATTAGAGAGCCCACTGAAATGACAAAATATGCCTCTGGCAGACTTCTGGTGGAAGTTAAATAAAAACAGCCTTCAGAAATTATTCAACAACAGGCATAATTCTAAAGATGCACAGACACTTAAAAAAATTATCTCTTGGTACACAAAATATGTTTTGGGGGTGGTTGGCTTGTTTTTTTAGGTTTCTTTTCAAACCCTTTCTTCTCTCATTAAACATATCTCTTAAAACTCTCTTAGCTTTTGGCAAACATGTGCAACATAATATATGACAAGCTAACCGACCCCCTAATATAAACCTGCATAATGTACGTCATGCTTTAAATAGCCAGCAGAGGGCTGTAATAGATCAGATATTTGTGCTTTCAAACGTCTTTTTTCCACTTCTGAATAAGGTCAGATGTAATTTACCCCTCCCACCACCTTCTTCCCAATGATCTAACACCAAAGCAAAGGAAGTGTGAAGAGAGGCAAACAGCTCGGTAAAGATCTGCATTGCTCTATGTTAGCAAAGCCATGCAAATGTTACAATCAGCAATCGCATTAAAATTCCTTGATTTAAATCCTTCCCTGAACAGTACTTCATAAACCTCTATCAGTTCAACCTAAAATATATTAAGCATATGCTCCATCAACAAAAATAACCATTAGCAAAAATAATAATTAGAAAAGAACGAATAAAGGGAAGGGAGAGAGAGAAAGAGAGGGGGAGAAAAGAGAGAGGGAGACAGAGAGAGAGAGTTATAGCACTACCTGTCGAGCGTAAGGGCCGCGGGGCTTGCGGAGCACCACGTAGAGGATTTCTGGCAATAGGCTGAGCAGGATGAGCACGATGATGACCAGCCAGGCTGACACCGAGCTCAGCATGTTGGCAAACACAAAGTATAACCGTTGCTGTCTCAGGAAAGGCCTGGGGGAGAGAAGGCACTTCACTTTATACTGTCTGGAGGAGATACATGTTTGACTAGAATGAAAAGGCCAACTAAAATGACTACAATAAGATTTGTTTTTTTGTTTTTTTAATCCTCAGTTGAATTCTAACCATATTACTCCTCCCCAGAAGAAGCTGAAAAACACATAGAAAGCCAGGGAACCCCATATCACAAAGTGGTTTATCCATGTCCAGTGCCGTGTATCCAGAGCCAACTAGAATGTTGGAGAAAAGAAAGTAGTAAGAGATCTTTTAAAAAACATATAAAAGAACTTTGCAAAAGACATGACTAACAAAATATCTACTTCAAACTCATGTGTCCACTCTAATGATAGACGTTTTATAAATGTCAAAATAAACAGGGGTAGAGCTTACCTTTAGTGTTACAGTGAAAACAAGGATGGTGAATACAATCGTTCCATATGACCAGTTCCCAAAAGCCTAGAGTCAAAACAATAAAACAATCAGCAGTTGTAGTTAGGAGACTGTAGATATGAAACCTGTTTAGAAGTGGATTTAAATCAAACCTGGCCATTATCCTGCAGGGCTGGGTTGCTGAACAAAAACCAAACACCAAAGAAGAAGACCAAGCCGTGGAAGACTCCCAGTAATGTCCAGTAGAGAAATGGTCCCCACCGTAACATGGCATTCTTACCGATCTGTCTAAAGATTTGAAAGAGGAAAATTAACAAATTTATTTACTTACTGTGTCTTTGTGTAACATTTCCTGTTTATCACGCAAAAGGACAACACCATTATATAACATATTAATGGTGGCCAAAAAAGTTACTGTGTAAATACAAATGAGCTACCATCAAAATTAGTTAACTCAACTTCACCAGAAGAACTTTGTAACCTGTTCATTAAATATTTATTTTTACTTTATTTTTACTTTTAAATTACGCCTGAACCCAAACCAGGACTTTATTTAGTAACAATATTGTATTGTATAGTAAAAGTATACAATATAATTCTGTACCTAAATTCAAAATAAACACATTAGTCTCCGGATAATGTTACCAATTCTTTAAATAGTGAAGTGTTGCACAGACACAGAAATCCTTCCAAGTCTAGATTTAAAACCTAAGAAAAGAATCTCCTAATCTCCATTACTGTGGGATTTTTGATGAAAGGACAGAACATAACAAGCACATCTACTTTTATATCCCAGTTTACCTGTAGAGGGTAGCATTTTCCAGGAGCATCTCAATGGAAATATGCTGTTCGAAAAGACTGTAAGCCAGGATGGGCATAGAGGTGAAGCAGATGTTGTACATCGTCAGATAGGCCGCATCATACAGGGGCTGGGGAGGATGGGAGCAGGAGGAAAGGTTGACGAGGGAAGGGTTGGTAAGGAGGAGGAGGGGTTAATATCACAGAGAGGACACAACTCATACACACAACCATAACTTGAGCACAGAGCACGTCATGAGCAAGCTTATATACATCTTTCATGTGCTTGTGAAAGATCTATATCAGAGACCAGTGGCATGATGGGGAAACCAAAAAAAAAACCAACAAAAGAAAAGAAAATCACCTTCACATTTCACACAAAAATATAATCACTCGGTGATCTTAAAAAGGATGACAGATGTCATAATAATAATAAAATGAATCCTTGTGCTCAAAAGAATTTCCATAAGATTTTTCTCCTATTTTAATTTTTTTTTCTAAGACTAGGAAAACAAACAAATGCCACCAGGATTCCAAAATATCCATATTGTGTCATGGTGTATTCGTGGTGGCACAACATGACCGGCATGAGTTTTGCCTATTTATATTGTATGACGATAACAAAGTGCATACATCCCAGGGACAGTGAGGAAAGGGGATTGTGAGGACAAGAGCTGAGCAACCGGGAGCACACAGAGGTGTGATTTTAGGAAACACTACTTCCTTTCATGTTCAGAATGTCTTTGAACCTCAATTAGATATACTTACTTGCTGGGAACAGCCGCAGAAGAACTGGTACAAAAACTGTGGTAAGATGAAGCAAAGATTCTGCAGGCGAACAGAGAATGAAAACAGGGTCATACAGAGTTCAACCTAAAAAAATCAGTCTCGCATGTAAGACTATATGTGTATGAGCGTGTGTGTATCCATCCATTTCCTTCTGCTTATCCAGGATTCAGGATTGCGGTGGAGCTAAAGGTTGTCGGTCTATGGCTAGACTGACAAAAAGAGACAATCACTCGTGCTCACGTTCACACCTGCCAATTTAGATTGTGGGAAAGCCAATGTATACAGTGAGAGGCCACGCACAAGCAGGGAGAACATGCAAACTCCAGTCAGCCAGTGGATCCAAACACAGGATCTTCTTGTTGTGAGGTGACAGTGCTAACCACTGCACCAGTGTAAAGATACCAAATGGCTTTTGGTGGGTACTAGATGTTGACCAATATAGGATTTTTAAGATTGAAACTGGTATTTACCGATTTAAAAATCCAATGTATGGGTCAATATTTCTTTTCATTCAGGCACACGAAATGCCCACATATATCACAAACCTTTTTTATCTGACAAAATGTAACCATGCAGGTTAAACATTAGCTTGTTTTATTTCCAAATCAAGATGCTGATTAGTCATTTACACTCTGAGCACCTGATCGTTGTGTTTGTAGCATTCCAAACATGTGTTTTCACAAAGGGGAAGTTACAACTGGTGGAAAACATTGAGACCCATATTATGGTCATGTTATGCTGATACTGACATATCAGCAAAAAGCTAATATCAGTCAAACAATATATCTGTCAGGCTCTAGTGGGTGCTCCTAGTGCTCCTGGACACAGAATCTCCACTTACCTTATAAAAGAAATACTGCACCAGGTGTGCAATGCGAACATAGTACAGATGCCCATGTCCCAACAAAAGTTTCTTGAGGTGCTTCAGTTTGGGGATGGCATAATCACTGTTCCTCACCGCCTGTCGACCCTCTTTCCCCTTAATGCCTGAAACACCAAGGCCCAAAACAAATTACACATTTCTGCACTCCACTATACATAGAACAGTAATTAAAGATGGCTAAATCAGCTTCAGCATCACATCATCACATTTCTTACCAATGCCTACATGAGCTTCCAAAATCATGCTGACATCATTGGCTCCATCTCCAATGGAAAGGGTGATTGGGCTGCCTTTGGAGTTCTTCACCATTTTAACTATCTATAGATAGATTGATACAGAGGCACAACAGCTGAATAAAATCAGAAATAATCTTTCACTGTGAAAGAAATCAATTCAGTTTTATTTCTCAGCTTATTAAATCACTGTTCTGACCTGTGCCTTTTGTAAGGGAGCCATGCGGCAGCAGAGCACAGACGTGCAGTTTTGACATATCTGCAGAAATAGGTCCTTATAGTCATGTAAGTTGTTTTCAGAGGATGAGTTGAGCACCATCGACAGAGTGGCTCCATCTACTATAAAACCATAATCCTGGCTGGACCAATTCCTGCAATACAGAGTAGACAAAATAGTTTAATCGTTACTAATGTTTGTTTGTTTTTTAACTATCGCCCCACCACCCCCTAATAAAAAGCCAAAAAATAAAAATAAAAATCAGAATAATGTCAGTACATAGCACACAGGCTTTTGTAATCTAAGGTGCCAACCTGGCAACACGTGTCTTTGCTGGTGGTGCATCCTGTACAGTTTTCTTGTGGTACTCGAGCAAGAGGTCATGCAGTCGGTCCTCACGCCTTTTTCCTGGAGACTCTAGAGTACGCACTGTTAGCTCCAACAGCTCTGTGTTCCTCTTGAACAATCTGCAAGCATAGCAGGTGGATTTGGCCGTCTCCATCTTGTCTCCTGTTAAGACCCACACTTTAATACCTGCTCCCTGCAGAGCCTCCATAGTCTCTGCTGCCTCCTCTTGAAGACTGTAGAATAATAAATAGAAAAGGATCATTATGACTACTAGCAGCAAGAATGCCTACAATTATGTATAGTTTATATACATGTGTTTAAAAAAAACCAAAACAAAAAAAAAGCTAAGCTAAATTGTCATAATGGTTTGGGAAGGCGTGGTCCTTTAAAAGTGTGAGTGTTTGTGTATTAAATGATGAATAAATGGTGATTCAGGAATATGTTTACTTCCTTTGTTATAGGCAATGCATGTGTTTTAGACCTAAACGTTTGCAATTTATGCAGTCTATTTTTAAAAGCTGGAATCGTTGACTGTAGGTCACAACGTAACCACAAGATGGCAGTGTGAGCTTAAATTAAAACGCTCTAAAAAAGAAGGGCTTTTAGCTGATATCAAACTAATCAGATGAAAATAGAAAGCCAAAGTCATACATGGTGAAAAAAGTGACAGTTGATGACATTTAAAACATCCCCAAAGGGAGGAATTAACTCATTGCAGCAACATAACAAAGAGCAAGTCCAGACAAGGCTTGGTGATATGCTCATCACAGGCTTTTGCACTCCTTTTTGTGCTTTTGCACTCACTCCTCTTCCTTTTGGCACTGATGTTTATTAAGGGGCAAGAACAGCACAAGTATGTGGATTTAAGGATATTCAGCAGGTTTCAACACGAAAAACTACGTCCAGATGAACAGAATCAACATATTTGGGGTTTCAACACAGCAGTTTCACAATTAAGAGCAGCACAGTTATACATTTTGTGTGAGCACCCACCGATCTTCAACAGCAGTAGCTCCAATTAGATTCATTCCAGTCTCCACTTGGTTGTAAACAGCCATGAGCTTCTCCTCTCTGTCCTGCAGAGCCAGTCTAGCTTCCCTTAATCCTGAATCTACCTGGTCATACTCCTCAGCGGTAAGATGTTTGTAGGCCACACACAGTGTCCGGTAACCATCCTAAACAGTAAAATAGCAGCTGATGTTATAAAAGATAAAATGTTATGCAATGAAATCATTCCAACAGTTGGAAATTTAGGAAAACAAGATGTTTTCCACCACGTACTGTTGCATTACGCTCCACATGCATGCGTATCTTTTCAACTTCCTCCTGTTTGACTCGGGGGAAGATGGAGGAGTCGGCTCCCTTACAAAAAAGCAGTGTTTCACCTGGGCACGAAAAACACACTATTATACAGACACCCAGCATCAGGGATGTGCTGGCCAACGCTATTTTATTAGCATTCCAATAACGTTGACAGTAACCTTAAGCTCACCTGATATTGACCTGACGATTACACTCATTCGCCTTCTGACTGGGTCAAAGTTCAACACATGAAGCAATTCATACCTAAAGGATGTACGCAGAGGAAATAAAAGATGTAATTTAAATACAAACAATAACTGAGATTTTAAAAAAAAGAAAAGACATTCCAAGAAATGACTAACTTACATTTCAACGTCATTTGTCCTGTTGAGAATTTTCATGGTTTTACTTTCGAGGCCAAGAAATGTGAAGCCGTACCTGAGATCGAGACAAATCAAAACACAAATGGCTTTTATGTTCTCAATAAATATTATAACGAAATTATACCAGTTACATTTTCCTTAGGTTTATCAATTCCAACTGTGTGCTTGTCAAATAGCCACCTGAAATCACTGAGTCATGACACCCAACCTCTTACCTCATTGCACCCTGGACCAAAGCAATCTCATCAGGTGAGGAGGCTATAAAGCCCCTCTGCTCCTGCAGTGGAGGGACCACTTGTCCATCTACCATTAATCCATCCACCTGGTCTATCCGTCCATCTTGACCTTGACCCTGCTCTGTAGACTCCTTTACCTGGACTGTGTGGCACAGGCACAGGGCACGCAGAAACAGCTCTTCCCTTTCCTATGAAAATTACGTAAACGTGGCTTAATACTGTTAAAAAAAATGTAGGGCTTTACAAGTAGAAAATTCATTCATAAACCTTAAAATAAATTCACAAATCTTTTTTTTACTTAATTATTAACAACCAAACAAGGAGCTATATACAGTAGCTGGAGTTTGGATAACGCCTAGAATTTATAACCAAACTGACCCCTTATCAGCACAAGTAATTAAGTGCAATAGTCTGTGAAGTGTTATCAAGCACTCGTGTCAGGAGCATGCAGCTCCTTCCCTCCGCTATGTTATAGCGCATATGTCGACATGTCAAGGAGAATGTACCAGGGTGACCAATAAAGGGCCTTTCTGGGCATCGAGCTATGTAATGGCCATATGTTAATCCTTGTATGACTTTTACAACAGATGGCGGGACACCACAACACTCACCCTGCCAGCTTTCTGTTGTACTGTGTTCATAGGTCCATCTGTAACGCAGAATCCGTCCACTTCCGAGCTCGCATCCCTGTACTTGTATTGGTGGCCATCAATGCAGCACTCTATGAACTCCATGTTATTCTGAGTTAGGGTCCCCGTCTTGTCTGTGAAGACGTACTCCACCTACAGGCAACATGAAAATAAAAATGACACACACTTCCAAAACCATAAGAATTCAGTTTCTCGTTTAAAAGCCTCCAACAATAATATTAGGCAATTACTTCCCGGAGGAAATTACACTGCATTAATCAGTTTAACGGAGCATCACCTTTAACTCAAATAATCATCTGGCAAACCAAGTGTGACTGATCTATGGCAGCGCCCTTTAAGTCAGCAGTGCCATAATAAAAATGAAACAAGGAAAATTCATTTTAAAGAAGCACTTACATTAGTCTCGGGTAGAAGTTTTGCTTTTTAAAATACACAAAATTCAGTATAAAATATTAACTTGTTTGGATGGAAAACTACATCATAGTGCTAGTGATTGTTCTACAGATTACATCTGGACATCGTTCAGAGATGCTGGAGATGAAATGTTCAGGAAAAGCTTTAGAGTTTTTATAAACAATAGAGGAATTTAGTTAATATAATTGAAAATTTTTGGACACAGAAATGCAGAGTTTACAGAAAGCATAATGACAGATATTTCTGACCTGTCCCAGCTCTTCATTGAGGTCCGAGGTGTTGACCAGTGCCCCTTCCTCAATTTCACTGTCAAAGAAATCTTTATCCCAGGATATGAAAAACGATCCCAAAAACTTCTGCATTTCAACGGTCACATACATGGACACTGGAATGATGAAGTTGAAGAGCACCATGAAGGACAGGAAGTCGGTGAACATGTTAAGGTACTGTTGGTAAAAAAACAAAGAGGCACATAATATATTTACACATATATAGAGAGAAAACTATATATACACACTGTATATATATGTATAGAGAGAGAAAGAGTGAGTTGCGGTTTGCATCATTTTCTCCATAACCTAAGCAATTCTAAGAAACCATTCTGCAGTCCTAGACGTCACTGTTTATACTTGCAACAAAAATGAGGAAATGGCAGTCACAATGTTGAATGCGGGCTAAAGCAGAAGGTTAACAGATGACATGAAACGGACTACATCATATGGCAACAGTGGCCATTTTGCTCATTTTATAAGAACTTTAAAACTATGTATAGAGTTCCCTCAGCAGCCCTTTAAGGATTATAATAATTACTATTGAATTAACATAGGCCTCAGTATGTATGTATGTAGTACACAATAACAGTATGATGAAACTTATCTAACAAGCCATATTAGCCATTTTTCTTGCAACAGCTGTTCTTCTAGTTCTGCTTTAGACATGTTTTATTTTCCTCAGTCACTTTTCCTTTTTTTCCTATAATGTTTGTTTTCATTAGTTTTCTAAAATGCAAACTCACCAGATTGGTTTCCTTTTCTTTCAGAGTTTTCTCGTTGTACCAGGGCTCATCCTGTCCAGGCTTGCTCTGCCATACATACTTAAGTGTAGTACACACTAAGGCCTTGCTCACTAATATGCAAAGGTAAACCAAAAGGAAGGCATTGATAGACCTGTAGACATAAAAACTCAAATTAGTGAGTATCAAATGTTTTTTTTTTTAGACTTGTTTTATACATATTGTTTTTCCCTGTAAACTTACTTTTCCACAACAGAGCGTTTCTGAGATTTTCCTTGGTAGTTAAGAGCCATCTTTGTCTCCATGCCGGTGTAAACTGCAACACCTTAAAAAAGAAAATAAGAAAAGACATCAGTCTTTAAGATATCGAGCCATCTTTAATATGGTACCAGTAAAAAAAGCTATTATTGACTTACCACAGATGCTTTGAGTGTTCTTTAAAGTTGCTCCTTTCAGCAGGAGGTTTTCTGGGCCCAGTGACCTGCACAATCACATCAGTAGATCCACCTATTTAGTCATACAGTTGCTGTGGAATCCACACCCCTCTATCCTCTAAATGGAAACCTGGCAGGGAAGCTGGCATCCACTCTAATATACGCAGTGACAGTACACAGTATGCCTGCAGTCTGGGCTCACACCAGTTCCAGTGTTCTTGAGAAGGACACCGGCATTTGTTTATATGGTCATTACAAAGCAGTCAATGATAAATGCCTGTGGGAGTGCTTTGGAAGCAGTGGCTAAATCCCTGCCAGTCTGTTTTTATTTTAATGCTTGTCTGCTATAAAGGATCAATGAAATAATGACTTGCTGGTTATGTAAAGGGAAACAAATAAACAACTGTTTAGATTTTGTTTCTTTAAACTATGCAGACTTGGTTGGACACGAGTGCTCTCACCTTAGCGAAGGCTCCTCATTGTTTTTGTAGATGTGCATACGACCGACAAACCTGGAACACAACGGCATATGCTCAAACAGATGAAGTGATTTGTGAGCAACTATTGTGTTAAGAGTGGAAGAGATCTGAACTTGAGGTATTCGAATCTTTTCTGAGTTCATTAATTACTCAAAGCTAAATATTCACTGACCTTAAAATCTAGAAGTTTAGAGTACTGCCTAATACTTGTAGTCAGCTATATTGTCACTTTCATTAGCTCAGAATATTCACGCCTTCATCTTCAGGTATGATTTTAAATTATAATAGTTTCACTGCTTGCCCCAAAGTTGACCTATATAGACATATTGTCTTTAGACATAGAACTACACTTAAGTAAGAATTAAGTTCGTCTTGGAGAGACCAAGTTATTATCCCATAAATGCACTATGGCTTGCCGACACATTTTTTTTTTAACAATCTGCATGTTAATATCAGAGTCATTGAAGACATTTTTTTAAAATCTGGCATTAAGTTAATCCACTCCTCAGCAGATCACAAGCACCACATGCTTGTAGTGTAAATCCGTTGGGACCACATGATGATTGCCTACTTGTAAAGGTCAGGCTGTGGCTGTTCGCACTCAATGGTGGCGTTGAGAGATTCCACATCGCGCTCTGTGTCTGGCACTGTGTAGTGTGTCTGGACAAGTAGAAGAGGCAGACCGAGAAATAGTGTGAGCTGTGACCAACTTAGGTCATTGATCGCTTTAACTTCCACTGCTTCTCACTCACACACAAAACAGAAAATTAAGAAGGAAAAAATACCAATACACTAGAGCACAAACAGACAGGAACACAATTTTTGGCAACTAAACAAAAGTGAAACCTCTTTAAAGTGAGACCAGCATTCAATGAAAATAAATCAAGATTCCCTGAATTATAACTACACAATTATTTTAACATGTATCTAGGCAAGTGCAAATGCATTCTTTACTGTTCTTCTACATCCACTCCTCCTCTCTTATTACCTAATATTAATCAAATGAACGCACATTAACTATAACTTCATCTGGAACTACTTTTAATTCAAATTCTTCTATGCAAAACGATTGAAAAGTAATACACTTATCTTACTTTATGATTCGATTCTCCATCCAGACTTGCTGTGGTAACAAAACATGTGCCATCATCTCGGCTAGACTGCAGCAATATTAAATCACAGGGAAAGGTCTCGTCTTCCTCCACCTCCAAAACATCTCCCACCTGGAGAAACACAACCAAAGACCATTTGTGAAGACACGGTGTGCTTTCTCCCTCTTTTCAGAAGAATCGCGCACAGGATGAATGGCAGAAGTTCAAACAACTTTAAATTACTTTTATCACTAAGAAGACTTATAAATACATATGACTGCCAGGTCCCTGTGAAGTTGTTGTGATCAGTGAGTAAAAACCCAGATACTAAAAGTGAAAACAAGAACAATCCATAATCTTCTTTGAGCTCAGGTTTGGACTGCCAAGCATTGACAAAAACCTGCCTGTATTTTAAATGTTTATTTTAGCAAAAGTAGCTAGCAGTAAGCTTATGTTGGCTCCTGTGCTGGGAACAGCTGTTTTATACAACGCATAAACAACACATAACAAAGCTTTGGTATTGACAGCTGTATGCCGAGTGGTGTCAGCTGTACGAGCAGATCTCTACCGTAATAAAGTTAAATAAATAAATAAAAGATGACCAAATACAAAATTCATTCATTTTAAAATCCCGAAAGCTACTTAAAGTGAGCCAGCCAACTATAGGTCTTTAAAAGTAGAATGCACTGGATAAATAAGTTGCCTTTACAAACATGTCTGAGCATCAGATCAGCTCAGGAGACTATGTTCTCCCTTGTGCATATATCCCAAAAAGTCCTGTATAGCTGCCAGCAGCCTTTCTCTGCATATATATTTTATTTTTCACTTCAGCTAGGATGCATCTGCTGCTACAAAGTACCTTGATCTTCTCACTCTCTTTTTGTATCCTCCGGCCATCTTCAAGCACTGTCACTCGGTACTTATTCACCTCATTGTCTGCCTTGTGCCGCAGCCAGTCCTCATATCCCTGTGGCAATATATCAAAATCAGAATAGCATTGCTTAGCACAACAAAAAGTAGAAACCTTTTCCGTGACATCTGTACCTATGGGACACTGACAGTTATAACTGATGTCAGAATAAAAAGGCACACAGTACAGCACTAGCTGTCAAACTAAGGGGTGTGCCCTGAATGTTTTACGGCTTCTTAATGGTGAAAGAAGTTTCAGCAGACTACAAGCGGCATCCGTCATTTCCATGGAAGAGTATAAAACATGAATGTCAATTCATACAATTAAATTTCCACATCCAGCATGTCATCATTACGTATAGAAGTGCCTACAGCAGCAGAATGAGATGGTGATTGTCCAGCAGTGCAGAGAAACAGTATAAAATGAAATAATACTGAGTCAGGTAAAAAGATAATTTCAAAGGCTGCAGCAGCAAGAGCCACAAAACCAAGTGTGGACTTTATGAGGTCTCTAAGATAGTGATGGATATGGAGGAGATGAGAATAGAGGGGTAAACCAAAATGTGTGCCAAGGCTGAGTGTGAGCCAAAAAGCAGGATTACAGGATAATAGGAGGATCAAGTCTGATTTAGTGATGCAAAGATTCTTATTCCTATTATTATTATTATCCATATAATTATTCAGTCAAAAATACAAACAATAATGAAGCATCTGCCATATAAATGAGTTCACACAACCAAAAATGTGAGGTCTTGGTCTCTGTTAAACAAAAATTTCACTTAAATACATGAACATTTTATATAAGGTTATCGAGAATCATTTAGTTCTTAACGGGCTTCTCGTTATTCTTTTCCATGTGTTATATCGTCCTTTTCTGTTGCCAGTGCTTTGCCGCACTCAGTTTGCATTAATAGGATCATCCCTCTCCTTCATCCTGGACTCAGTTTAGTTCAAAAGTCAGTTTGAAATTATTTTTCCAAACTTTCTGGCAGGAAGTATACAGCCGGAGAGGAAAGACCTATTTAAGCATGAGTAACACCTTATCTTCACCATCTCATTCACCGTCTTTATGTGTGGAGGAACTGCCTGAGCCTTGTTCACAGAACTCCACAGTATAAACCAGTGTGAAAAAATATACTAACAGCACTACCATGAATGAACACGGACATGTGTTATCAGTGCACCCCATATATTATTGTAAGGAAATCCACCCATTATTGTGCATTTCAAAGCCGCAGCTGTAGACTAACTAAAAAGCCAATCTTAAAACAATACATCTAAAGCTGGGACAGGGAAGCAATAGAGTCAAAGAAACAGATACTCCCCTTGATAATTTGTACCTCTGAAATAGACTCTCTCTCTTCATTTGCTAACACTCCCCTAGAGGCTATTTCATCTACACCCCAATCAGAATTCACCAGCAGAGCACATTAATACAAAACCCAAGAGAGCATTAGGCACGTACTTTATACAAAAATCACACCAAGGCAGTTATGAAGAAAGGGGGGCTGTGTTATACAGAGAAGGAGGACAATAAGACATGGCTATTTAAAAAAAAAAATTAAAAAAAATCACAATAAAGTGACTGCTACCAAAACTTACTCTCATTAGGAACATATCTTACCTGCTTGATAGCAGTTACTGTAATCACAAAAAATAATGGTAGGCCACTGGTGACTGGGCTGGTGGGGGTATCCACTATCACCTAATAGGAAGAAGAAAAAAAGAGAAACGCAATGTTAACGCTCAGCAATAAACATATGCTTCTGTTTCAATGCCAATGTATTACATACATCACTACAGAGTCCTCCTACAGCAGCAATGTGTGGTAACGGTTCGCATGATGAGGCAGGCCCTCTAAATGCAGGGTGTAGTCCTTTTCTACTACTTCTCATATTTGTTCATCAGTAGGGAACACAAGGGAGACATTTACATTTTGGAGGGGAGAGAAGGAGGTTCTGGACCACGGAACTTTTAATCAAGTGAGCCAGGGATAGAGTGCTTAATCTGCAGGCATTCCAACACTACTGTGTCTCTGCCAAGGCATGGAAGAGGGCCAGCAGAAAGCTTTGACAAACCGACCTTACCTGCCTGAGGATTTCGTGAGAGAATCTAGAGGTAGAGTATCGGGATCAGACTTGGTTTTTGCATTTATAAGTCATGTATGTAATAAGAATGTGAGGATCAGGTAAACATCCAGCTTAAGAGCAGTGGCTCACAAGGCACCCAGCTAAAATCTCAGCAAACAGAAAGCTCTTTGTGTTTATGTCACCTAAACCTATCAGAAGGATTTACGCTTGCATTTCTGATCCTGCAGAATGCAGTTGGGCTCCCCATGAGCCAGACTGGATGTTACAGCACATCCAGCTCATTCATATTCTGACCAGGAGCATTACAAAGTGTCAGATAGACATCGGCTCAAGTAGGATATGTTTTGATGCAGTCTCCAGTGTTCCTCAACTGCACTTGAACTGAAAATTAAATAAAAATGGCAGCATAAAAGTACAAGGGCAGTGCACTAGAAATCCATCCGAACCTTACTGTGATTACAGTTCATTAAAGGATAACTCAATTACAAAGCAGAGACAGACAAGTTCACCTCCACCATTTGAAGATTTAGAGTAGTGCATTATGTTTGTAGCTATTCTGGTGAGACAAAAGTATTAATATTGCCGCAGTGGCCTGATGTGTTGGAGAGCCAGCAATCATTCAAGAGTATTTGGGGGTATACTTTCAAGAATCTTTAGATCTTAAGACTAGATAGCTACACAGTCATGAAAGTGTCTCTTGAGAAAAGCAGCCAATGAGAACTGGACTAAAGAGAAGGTGACCCCTAAAGGCAGATGAGCTAAATCAGCTTGTTTGAGATAGTGGGTAACCTAAGGATTTGCACCAATGCCCAGTATAAGATTGCAAGTTATTTTGAGCTTTGAATTATGAAATGCTAAACTAGTAGAGATCAGTAATAAAAATATGGAGTTGAACATGAGTATAATAGGCCCCCTTTAATGTCCATCACCTCTTGTTCACATGACTGGATTTAGATTTGTCTGATCACAGAAAGAAAAATAGAAACTAACGTCTCTCTGATGCAGCAGCCAGATGGCAAAACCCAGCAAAGGTTTACCACAGTATAAAGAAAATGCTTTACAAAGCCTCAGAGTTGTTTGATTTTGATTTATCCTTAGCCACTGTTCAATAGAGGACTAAAAAAGAAAGAGCTGATGGTGGCATTTTATCTGTTCATCAACAAAACCCACACAAAACAACCTTAATCCCACACTATAATACAATTTCAAATCACTTGACAGGCCTCGAAGACATAGCTGTATCTAGGACAGCCTCCATTTTTGGAACAGACGGGTTTTTTACTGAAATTTAATGCATCTATATTAAACCTGCTTAAACTATTTTTGCTGTTTAGCTATAATTTTTAAAAAAAAACCTATTTGTGTTTAATACTAAAACCACTAAGTGGTGCTTCCTTGTTTTGGTGATTTAAAAACATCAAGGTTGTGTAGCCCCAGGTGGTTTCTGAACATACATGCAGTTTGATCTCACTCAGCACAACGTATCCATTGTCAGGAATATCATGGACAAATTCTTGGAACATTTTTGGAAAGCACATGTGCCTCTACTTATACAACAGCAATGGCTCAGTGGCAATTTAAGTATAGCAGAACGTCACTATATACACAGCTACCCCTAAGAAAAATAAAACATTCATATACTCAACCTTTTATCAATTCATCTGCACCCATTAAGAACAACCGCCACCAACTTTATACACACTTGCCTCCACTGCACCAAATGCAAAGCCAAAAAAAAAGAAAAAAATCACAGCAATAAGAGTGTACTGCTGCTGATGTGCTGGTGTGATATCACAGCAGCAGAACGGGGCAGCAGAAAGCCCTTCATCTGAGCCGGGAAGTGTGTCAGAGTGAGCGACAGACAGCAGTTCCCCGGGGTCCCAAAGCAGTGGGTCCTCGCATCCTCCCACCCCTTCGTCCTCTCTTTTTTTTTCCACCCTTCTCGGTCTCTCCTTTTCTCTCACCCTCTCAACACCATTTCTCCCACTCTCTCACAGTGCTCTATTCCCATTCAATCAAATTCAAGCAAAGACACGCAGGGCTATTTATAGGAGAGTGGTGCTTTTTTATCAGCCTGTGTCTATTTGTGGCACTCAGATGTACAGAGGGCTTCCTGGCTGCTGACGTCAGCAGTGCAGCGCTGCAGCGAATTGGAGGTTATGTGAGACAGAAAGACAGAAAGAAAGACACCAAATGACAATGTGAGACAAAAGGAGGATAGAACAGAGTTGGAGGATGCATGACATTTAGTTGTTGGTAGAGTATTTGCATTAAGCCTCTCGGGGGAAATGTGAAGGTTTATTTCTGTCTGTAAGATGCAAGTGCAAAATGAGCGCACAATCTGTGTACCTGTTTCACACTATCTAATATAATAGCAAGCTGCATAGGAAAGACTGAGTGGTTAGGATAAGGAACCCCTCAAGTGAAACTGGATTAGTGGAGAAATGCCAACCACACTGCAGCTTGGGTAAACACCCAGGACACCCACTGACTCATACATAACATCCGCAAGCTCACACACACGCACACATATACATTTATTCACACACAAACATTGTAAAATGAACACATCACAGGTAGAAATTCCTCATATTCACATACATACATTGATTCTTCTCACATTAATTCCATACAATAAAAATTAAAAAATTCAGCATTCATACGCATTAGCTAAGACAGAATACAGAATAATATATATAATATAGAATTAATCCAGACAACTTAGAGAAGAAAGGCTGGGGGAAATGAATATTACACTTAATGTGATATTGTTTGAGATTAATTTCATTTCTGACACTGAAACATTGGGTTTCTGGGAACAGAAGCTCAGAGTCCATGACGAGAGAAAGGACTTCCTTCTTGACAAGGTCTAAAACGAGCACCTGTTTACACTAGAAGGCTCCTTTGCTGCCATAGTTTAGGTTATCGCTAAAAGGAAACCAGTTAGTTTCCATTTCCATGGACCACAAAAATGGATCATTAGGAAGAGGTAATGGAAGAGCAAAAGCAGATGTACATAACAAATCTTCAGAGAGGAGAGAAGTCATTTAAGAGTACAGCTGAAGTCTATTAGTTAGCGTCCTCAACCAGTTCAGTTTCCAGTAATTAAGCACGGACAAGACAAACCAAGGAAACAGTGACACAAAAAGAAATTCAGGGATTAGCATGAGAGTACTACAAACCTGTTAAAATGGGCTTCTCAGACAAAGTGAGAAGCAACTTTCAACTATTCAAATTTCTTTCCGTTTTACTTGAAAACCATGTGAGACCAGGTCTTGGATGAATGAGTTAGTTGAATTAAACTGCTGATGACTTGCCATAATGCTGAATTTTTCATGTTCTTTGAAAGTTATAAACAGGATTAAATGACAGACTGTGCATAACGCTATAACCTGAGCAGGGTGTAAGGGAGCGTAGTAAAGCAAGGCATTTAAACATGACCAAGTGTACTGATCAGTGTGCCTTCAATATAAACTTGCTTCAAAACAGAGGTTTTTTTTGACTTTCCGCAGTTCACGCAAATGAACACGCCCAGTAAGGAAATAAGGTAGAGCAGTTTCACGTCTGATATAATTGTACACACACTTATCCTGTTACTATTGCACACCTGCTATGGCTACATGCACATGGATGTAGTTTCTCACACCCCTTTTTTATGCAGGCAAAACAGTAAGCATGTCGATCACTTACACTGATCTATTCAGACTTAATTTAAAAAAAAACATAATGCGGCCCGAAACTAGCCTTCATACGGAGGACCTGACTACAAATTAACACCATCAAATAAACAAAAGGCACCCACGAAGTCCTTATTTTAAAAAGATTATATCACTTATCACTGTTTGAGTTGGCATACAGACAAAGCTTGCCCTTACCTGCACCAGGAAGATGATAAGGAAGTAGAAATTAGCAATTCTTCTAAATTGTTCAAACAGGTTCTTTGGTAGAAAGTTCCATACTGTATACTGTTGGGGGAGAAAAGAGGAAGCACATATGTAAAAACATGAAATCACAGAAGAAGAAAAAAATGGAAAAAACTGCATGTGGACTTTCTTTGTTGCTCTGCGCTCTGTGGTTGTTCTACTCTACCATGTTTTGTAACCAGACTCAGGGAAGTTAAAGAAAGGCTTGGCAAAGGAAGAGAGATTAGAGACATTCAATATCCACAGTCCTGTATTTGTTTATTCTGTTTGAGCTGGGGAAGGAAAATAGGAAGGCAACTTCAATAGCTTAAAGTCTCTGTTCTTTGCACCAACTAGGGAGACAGGCCTTGGGGGACCACAGGTATTCCACTGATTCAGATTAGATATGTATCTCTTATATTTGGCTACCCTTGAATGCAGAGTCAATGAACTTACGAGGTGGGTAACTGTTTTTGTGTTTTCTTTTTTTTTTTTTTAAGTGGCCATGACTGTTGATATCATCGGCGCTGAAGCAACATTTATCTGCAAAACTCCCTGAGAGACCTCTCAACGATACCCCGCTGGTAACCTTGTGTCAATAACAAAGCACGTCTACACAGCTTTGCACAGAAACAAGAATAAAGCCCTTTTTTGTGGAGTGCCAGGGGATAGTGTTGAAATGCCACACGAGCAGAATGGATATCTCATTTTGCTAAGAAGTAAAGAGGGTGAAAGCAACGAGAAAGAGGTTGGAGGGTGCAGGTGCAATGAGAACATGAGAGAAGAGGCAGAGATTGGACACTGCTGGAAAGAAACAGGAAGAGCAGAGGCACAAGGGAGAATAAACACTGCAGCTGGGGTAATTAAAGATTGCTTACCCTGACATACTGGCAGAAACCAATAGATTGACCCTTCCTCGCTGAGATGCGCTGCATCACTATAAATCCTAGAGCCATTTTATTATCACTTCCCTTGCTTCCCCTGATCACTTTCATCTTAGACATTCAAAGCCAGTCAGTCAGTACTTTCCCAAGCCTGCTGTTGACACAGAACTAACAGGTAGAGTAAGACTTGGGTGGTGAAGGAGGGGGGTTGTAGTCAGAGCCCAGGGGAAGCCTGAATTGCCCACCGTTCCAGTACATTAATAGCAGCCATGTATTTCCTTGCCACAGTCTGTGCTTCACTGACAGACAAATAATCGCCTTCCATTGGGAGCCAAGACAAGTATGAGGAGAAGCAGTCGGAACAGGAAACAAAGGAAGGAAGCCACTGGAATGCTGATGACTGTTCAAGAGTTCATTTTGCAAGTGTTAAATAAAAAAAACTGCCTACAGGTAGATAAAACATAACACAAGCTTAGGAACAAACAAAAGTCTTGGTGCATTGCCAGACTGGAGCCCTGGCAAATGCATGGGAGTGTAATGTTTTTACCTTCGAGGACACAATCCTGTTATCGCAGAACTTGGGTGGGATGAAAACTTCATTGGCAGGACACGGCCGATGACCAACATAGATAGTCCTACTGCCTACTCTTCTGTCCTCACCACCAAACTAGAGAGGAGGGATGGGGGTTAAGATAAATAGAGGAGAGAAAAAAAGGAACAGGACATGTTAGTAATTCACTCTTCTTCCTGTCATTTAAATACTGAACCAATTCGGGTACTTCTAACAAAATCAAGTGTGCACCATACAACAGTCATGAATTTGTTGGGGGGGGGAAAGTCCAAATTTTACCCATGATCTAATACAAATTTAAAAAGATTGCACATTCTTTAATAGTTGCAGACAGAGGCAGTCTAATTATGCCTAAATTCCAGCCATATAATTATGAGATTAAAGTTTCGACTGTGAATCAGAAAATGAAGATTTGAAAAGTGGAAAACTGATGGGCACTGGACAATATAATGTAAAATGTCTAGATAAAAATTCAATAAGGGCCAGAATCTTCAAGAGATTTCAAAATAAGGTGAAATTTATTTTCAGATTATATAAATGCATGTGCACTTTCTGTTATGTTTGTCATAGTGTCAAAATGTTCAATACAGTTAAAAAAAAAGTTAAAAAAATTAATCAAGTGAAAACAGAGAGGCCAAAACCTGCATTTTCTCGTATATCCACACAACTCCATTGGGTCCAGTTGTTACCAATAGCAACCCGTTTAATATCAAAGTGAGTGAAGCACCTTATAAACTAGGTAGCTAGACATTTCAAACTTTAGCAGATAAAGCAAGAAAAAAAAGGAAAAATAAGTGGATTTCCAAATTTTCAAATGCCAAACTTGACACTTGGGGGATGTTGCATCTTTTATATACAGCTTAGATTTTTGTATTTTTGTTCTAATGCAGTATGCACTCTAATGTGGATGTGTGTGTTAATTTAATATTTGAAAGAGAAAAAATTTGAGGAACCTGTTCAGAAACCAGAGGTATACTGTGTCCTGCCAAAATGATAAAGGCACATAAGGTAAATCAACCAATGCACAGAAGCCAGGTTGTTGTCATAACTTCCATGGTGCTCACCTTACATAAATCTCAAGAGCAACTGTAAATACCAACCCAAAAAAGGAAACTCACATGAGAAATCAAAGTGATAAATTGTCAGGTAGGACAACGGTTTATTCTTCTCTGTGTGGAAAAAAAAGAGAAGACCATGACTACACATCTCCCACACACAGTGAACATTATTTTATTTAAGGTTTGTTAAATATGTCACTACACTGTTCCCTAGAGAGTTACAGAACTGATTTTGCAACTTTATTATTGTTCAAGGAAATATCTAGCCAATATCCATTCCGTTAAATACAGAAAAGATCAGTGCCAAGAGTGATGATTCATTATCACTGAAAAGGAAATTGGTCTATCCAAAAATCAAAACAGAGCCCAATCTCAATTTTTTTGTCCCCAGAATGCCAAGTGTGACCTAAAAGTATTGGCCAAGCCATTAGGTGGACAGCTACAAGGGCTGGAAACAAAGCCAGTACAATGCATTAGCCAGACCTACAACAATACTTGCTACCAATTCACATCTTTCTTATCTTCAAGGATATTCCCATCTCACTATAGAGAGATTAGCCTGACTCTGTTGACTGTAAATAATTAACCCTATTACAATAAACAAACTGTTGACCATTTAAATTATATCTATATTGTTTGTATACCTGAATATTTTCTTTCCCATGTTAAAAGGTTAGGCTTTCCACTGAGAGCTTTAACAACATGATGAGGATGTGTAATGTCAAGAGTTTGTGAAAACTTTTGAATTCAGAGCCAAAATGATTTGGAGAGCCTTAGTGGCTTTAGTTACTACTTTAACAGTTGCCAAAATATAAGAGACAGTTGTTAACTGCTTCTTTCCCCATTTCATATTTTGACATTTCCATTTGTAACCAATAGAAAAAAGGTATTGCACATGCAAAAAAGCCAAATATACTGATAGACTGTGGCATTTTTTGTGTGCAGCTGGGATTCTCAATCAAGAACAACCAGCCTTTACATTATGTCCAATCTTAACTTGTATCTCATCTTAATCGAACAGTATGTCAGAAAAATGTAGCTTACGGAACAGTTTTTGATGTATGAACTGCAAACAAACAACACCTCATAAAGCAAACCCCCAGTCACCCAGCAACTGGTCAACCAACTAAATCTGCCTTCTTAATGACGTCGGCAACTTTTCCATCTTTGGCCTGGATTGTGATTGATGCGTGGTTTCTCAGAAACCTAACACAGTTTTTAGGTTTAACCATTAACAAACATGCTATGGGTATTTATCCCAATGCATCATTGCTAAACGACAATAATTTGAAGAATAAACATGGCTTGTGATCTTTAAGTTAAAAATTAATAGTAGATCAATGAAATATTTTATGCTTAATGATCTAGAAGTTTTGACATTTTCAGAAACATAAAACAAAGTAAACCATGAAACCTTTTGGACTTTAGCTCGGTTTGCACAAACTGTATCACAAGATAGAGTAGAGGAGATTTATGTAATACCTTTTCTGTTAAGCTTATCTGCCGTTAAACAAGCTGCATACTGTAATGTGCCATTCTTTGATGTAGGAGTGAAACAAATTATCAACGACAACATACTGTATTACTACCAATATGATGCCAATATCAAGTGTTGTAATTTTTAAAATCAGCAGGTTCTATGATTCTCTATGGAGGAGCTTAGTCAACTTATTTTTATACTGTACTCATACGTTGGATAACTAGTGAATTTAACTGATTATAGGAAACCTGGCATACAGATTTAGTTTCCTGCTGGAATCACAGTGCTCTCATTTCAAAGTAGTACACACTCACCAATCAATCACTTCAACTGGGCATTGGGTTGGATACTCAATAATGGCAGAAGTGAAACTACCTCGGGCTGTCAGATACTTAGTCTTACAGCACTATATTCTTCAGAAAACCCATATATAATACACAGCTGACAGCGGTTTTCAGTGTACTTTCAATTTAATGTATGTAACCAATATCAAATTACCATATTTGACGCATAGTCCAAATGTACATGTCTTTGTTTAGTCCCCTTGTATTTATGTAGAATTATGCACATTAACATTAATATCTAAAAAAAAAAGAAAGAAAGAAAAAAGAAAATGACCACTCTATACAACCACAACAGAAAGCACTACTTGCCAGACAGACAGGCGATTCATCTCTGGGATTAATCATAAACTCTTGATATTGTGAACAAGTACTTCATTTTCACAAGCCAAATTATTTTTAAAACAAAAAACAATGATGAATGCCTACTTTCAAATGTCATTGCATAAGCAAAAAATATCAGACACTGACACAAAGAAGACACACAGAAAGAGTGTCAGAAAATACGCTTGCGTGCTGTAGTCATTTTATTTCATCGTCCAAATGAGGACTCTAGCCACATGTTTTAAAAATAGCTATATTTTCTGTTCAAGCATAAGTTGTTCTGCTAATACTGTGACTGTAAATAATTAAAGTTGTGCAGCAGGGGATCTGCTTTATCTAATATAAAAGGCCAGTAGCATGTGGGCTGAGGAGACAAATTATCATGAACATCTGATCCTGGACAAGTGCCAGGGAACATGTGAATTGCGGCCACCTGGACAGCAAACTTCCCAAAGTCTGTTTCAGACAAGGGGTTAGATCAAAGAATGGCCTCAAACACTCGAAGTCTAATTTATGCAAGTAGGGACCAAAATAAATAAATAAAAATCGCAGCATTCATAATGAATTTATGCAGCCATTTGCTTCTCATTAATAGTTGGGGGGGGGGGCTAAATAAGAACAAATTCTTAGTGTTAATTCTGTAAAAAAAAAAAAAAACATCCCATCTTTCCTATAGTCCAGACTAGAAAAGGGAGCCAATAGGTTTACATAATGTTCCCTTATGCATGAACAGCCACATTCACACCTCAGTATGGATGTCAACTTTAGCATCCCCCACCCGATCAGCACACAGTTACACTCCATCAGGACCGGATGCAAACAGAGTGTGAGTGGGAAGAGGAGTTTGAGAGGAAAGAAGTACAACAGGATCCAAGATTTGATGCATATCCATATCCCTCCCCCATATCAAATAGCAATAATCTGCCCCCAGGAGCAATAAGCCAAGGATCTCTATACTGACTCTGTGTAGAAGAAGTAACTGTGAAAGTTGTCCTATGGACTCTGAAAGAACTGTAAAAGCAAATTTTTAACTAGTAGTAAACAATAGAACACTTTTACAAAGGGCTTCTCTATCACAGCATAAAATGCAAGCAAACACACCTTCTACAACCAGAATATCATTGAATCAAAGTATTCAAGGGCTCTGGATTTTACTTTACGGGTTCATAGACCAGACAGCTAGCAATACTAGGTTACTGGCTTCTGTCCATAGTTTTAAGGTCACGGATCAGTCAGGAAAAAATGCTACTTGTAATGCAGACTAAGCCAACAATGGTGCTTAAAAGCTGTGAAAGAGCACACATAAGCAAACCCCGTCACCCCAGAGAGGGTTCTCAAAAAGAAGCGGCACCTACACAAACATAACTCATGGTGAAAACTGGAAAAAGTATTCTGTATTAAATGAGGAAATAGTCTATGCCCTACGGCACTAAAGATAAGAATAGAACTATTGAACGGCCATTGATTTAGTGGTGGAGTCACTGTAAAATATAATGAGGGTCAGATGGTGGGGGCCACTTCATTTTTGAGCAGTTACGTGATTGCAATGCTCATCTCCAAAAAAGTGAGCTAAAGCCCGTAGAAGAAATGCTAATGTAAGGAAAAACAGAACTTATTGCATTATCTCTGCTTCACTGTCAAAGGTCAAACAAATCTATTCAATGGCAGTGATGTTAGTAAGTAAAGCAGAGTCAAGTGCCAGTATGTCAATATCAAACTGTATTCACCCTTGATGATAAAGCACCAGCTACCAAAAGTGAATGGAGATCAATAAAGCAAATAGCCAATGGTCAATCGAGCTGAGATGTAATTGCTCGGTCAAAAATAAATGGTGCATTAGAAAATTGAGCGGGGCTTAAAACTTTCTATTAAAATATGCCCTAAATTTAATTATGCATACATTGTGAAATAAGCACAGGCTTGGACGGAGGGGGAAAGGTGCTCCGCTGAGAGCGAGGGGAATGTAAGACTGCATTCAGCTGGTGCCAAACACCCAATGATGACTCTGGTCTGATGACACTGTGCGCTGTCACACCATCTCACTATTCAGTGACTATCCTGTTTTGTCAATCTGCATGTTGTAAGCAGAACTAACTGAGTAACCAGAAAATTACAAGGCCTATTCATTGTATCACAATCCATCAAGACCACAACTCTCTGACAGCGCAGATTTTTAAATGATTATTTCATGTATTTTTAATGCCTTTGGCACTGTATCATTGAGATGCTGATACCACTGTGGTCATTTTTCTTGTGTAGCAGTCTGAAGCATTGTATTTGACTGCATTATATTTCTTCCTCACACATACAGACACACACTCCTATATTATATTATATATTATATTATAATAGTGATAGACCGACTGAACAGCTACTATGGTGTACCTAATAATTATTTCTGCTCTAAAAATGATACAACCAAGCCAGAAGTAGGTCAGATGTGGCTGTGTACGAGAACATGATGTTGTGCCGTTCCTGTGAGCAATACTTGCATAATTCATACCATAAGACACAAAACACTCCATAAACCAACCAACAAACTGCAAAAGACTAGGCAGACCATTTCACCACATTGTACCACAATAGACAACCGTTCACATTCACACTAGCAATGAACTAGCACTTAGTTAAAGTTAAAGGGCATTGTAGAACCTTCGGCAACACTTATTAAAAGATTTAAGTGATTTGAGCCTGTTTCAATAAGTTTAACTCTATGTGGAATAGAGAAAGAGAAACAGTTTCAAGAAATCATCAAAAGCCCAAAACTCCCATGATGTTCATGCCCATGGGTGTATGTAAACTCCTGACCACAACTGTACATCAAACAATCTACAGTAAAAACCACACAATCAAGATAAACTGAGTACTTTGTGGCTGTGCTGTTATACATTCTTTCTGCACGTGATCGCTGTCTTTACATAACAGCATATGCTCGTACACTTCATTTAGAGAAAATAGATTCAATACTGATGTTTTTTTCTTTGTCTTCCAGAGCAGAAATGCAAAACCCTCAGATGATCCTGAGGTGTAAATGACACGGGAATGTTAGAAGAAATCCAGTTCTTTGTCACGCTGCTTCATTGACACAAACATGTTACCATTTATGGCCAGCAAGTCTGTTACAGAGACCGCCAGAAGTGGTTTTGGGTCGCACAATTTCTCTCTCTGGACAAGAAAGTGTTTTCTGATCTTTTGCTGTTAAGCCTTCTGTCAAGGTTTAACTGAATTGTGTCTCCAACAGCTTATACGTGCATGTCTTGCAAGAAGTAAAGATGACACTGTAGTGTGCAGAAGAAGAAAAAAAATCTACTGACAAAGTGTGACAATGGTTCAGCAAGTGCTGTTTTTCTGGACACAAATAGATTTTGTGGTCAAACTAAATCGATGCTGTAGCTTTTTCTTACTCAACTGTTGAAGCAATTTGAAAATGTAAGCCCAAAAGAATACAGTATGCTCAGCTTTGTTCTGATCAGTCTCCATTGGTGGTTTTATAACCTTGTGCAGCAGGGTTATAAAACACTAAGCTCTTCCAGTACATAATGCAAGAGCTGTGTCATTAAGCTTCAAAAAATGCACTCAGAAAAGCTACTTAAATATATTTAATGAGGTGTGAGGGAGCTTTGCAAAGAAGAGAGAGCACTAGGGACGAATGTTTGTTCTTGTTCATGCTGCATGTGTACAACCTGCACTACACTGAGAATGTCACTGAACTGGATCTTTGTTTTCTATTTTTCCCCACATTGAGGAGAAAGTGTGAGCGAAACATAAAATATATGCCTAAACACCCGAAAGGATTCTGACAGTATTGGAAGGCTTTCCAGAACAAATGCTTCGTCTCTAGCAAACTGTTTTAAAAACCGTTAATGACGACTGGAAAAACATTCTAACAGAAACTTAAAACTGTGATTATGACAAGCAAAAAAAAAAAAAGCTGAGTAATGACTGTTTGAATAAAAGGGGAAAGATACATGGGCTGAGTTAGTGCTGTTTACCCTTGCAGCTCTCTGGCACATTGCTCCGTTACATTCTCTGTTTTTCTTGTCAGCCCACTTGCCTGTCCTATTCCAGCATGCTCACTCGGTCTCACTAATTGTAACTCTCTCAATTTTGATTACACATCAAAGTGCTCACTGCCCATACCAGAAGAATTTAGAGTGGCTACATTTTCCTTTGAGGAAAATATAGCACAAAGGCACAAAATTAAAGCTTTGTTACTACAATGAATTTGAGGAGTACTCACCTCTTTGTTGTATTTCTTGTGTGGGAAAACAATTTCTAAATCAAGCAATCTTACGTGGGCTATTTCGCCTAATTTCAGCACAAAGTCCTTTAGCTGTTTTTAAACCTAACTGAGATTCAAAATACAAAAAGATTTCCAGAATTGAAATCCCCATTCCTTCCTCCAAAGACATTTTGAGCTATCCCGGAGTCTATGCTATGTAAGCTAGTCACATATTGGTAGTTTTACACAGTTAGCGCCACAGATTACAGGATGTGCATCCAGATTATTTAATAGCATATGTGTTTGTCACCTGTTTGATCATTCAAAGGCTGCTCAAAGGTGCTCTTCATCCTCATTTAGGCCCCTTGGCTGCTCAGTTTTGTCCAGTTTAAAAGAAAGATGATTCAATAAATAGTCCACAAATATATCACCAACCACTGGTTACGTGGCTGATGATGCCTGCAAAATCTGAACACACTACAAAAACTCTACTGCGCCTATATTACTTTAGAATTCAAAGTCAGCTTCTTTCCCTTCATTATGAGTGGAACACCTAGAATAAAAACAGCTTTACTGAAGAGACTACAAGTTCAGACAAAGTTCACTTTAAAAGTTTTTAAAAAAGGATATTTACTCTCCTAACAAAGCAGAAGGACTATTGCTTCATTCCCATACAGTGTTACATCAAATCGACTTGTCTTCGTACAGCACCATTAATTTCATGCAAAAGTGGTTTTGGGTGGTTCAGCACATAATAAAGCAATCACACAAAAAGCTTTAAACAGCATTTGTCTCTTAAGCAGCACACTTGGACACAATGCAACACACCTGAATTTTGCAATTAAGTTAATAAAGTTTCCCTCTCCAAAAATAAATAAATAAAACATTAATAGCAGCAAATAACAGTTTCAGACAAAAGGTTACCAAATCAATAAAAGGTAGATACATTAATCCATAATGATACTATAATAGGAGTTACCTCCATTATGGATTCAGCAACACTTGGCCTATGGCATTGAATTAAGGCCCCATATTAAAGGCTACTCTCTTCCTCTGTCCGCTGTTTGCACATTGTGATGAATAGCCTTCAGAGTAATAACAGTCCAACTTGAACTGCGCGCTGATCCTAAGGAGCTGTTGTGGATAGGCAAAGGCTCATTGTTCCGCTAGCATGCCTGCAGCTGTACTAGACACAGAGTGTAGTGTACCATTGGCTGGTACTGACCTATATTAGACTGCATCTCTCGACAACAGGGAGGAGGGAAACTCATCATGACCTTGCACTGGGAACAACTTCCTCAAACATTTTGGTCACAGACACATATAGCGACACTTTTGGTATAGTGACAACTTATAAAATGTCTAAAAGCCATAGTTGTTTTGTGAGTAACAGGTTTCATGAGAGGCTTTTTAAAGGTCATCCCCAAGCTGAAGTATTTTCTGTGAGTAACATCAAAAAAGATGACCTTTGAAATTTAAAGAAACACAATAAAAGCCCATTAATATTAAAAACAGGAAATGCATGTGAAGTCACAAACTGCTGACAGACAACTGTGGTCAGACAATATAGACATGGATGTTTTTAACCGGTTTAGTCTTGAAACATTCATTTACTAACACATAACTTAATCCGCCTTCAGGAGTGTGAACTTTGTTCACCTATTCACTTTGTTCTCAACCAGTTAAATTAAAGTCCTGCGGAGAATGAGAAAAGCACATTATTTTCCAGGGATTTCACGGAGAAAACCTCCAGACTTCACATTTTAAGGCCTGGAAAAGCAAGCACATTTTAAACTACAGCCTAGTCACACTTAAATTTCTCTTTAATTATATATCAAAGTAGTTTAGCCTTAGATGGGGTATGGTTTTTCCAGCTAAGTGCACACTCTCTGTACTCTGTTTGCGTTTGCGCGCGCGTGTGTGTGTGTGTGTGTGTGTGTGTGTGTGTGTGTGTGTGTGTGAGAGACAAATCACTAGATTTAGCTACTTAGACATAAGTTCTTGATGCGGCTGCTTTTTTCCCCATGTAGAGCACGGGTTTCTAAACTGCAGTACACTACAATGGTTGCTCCCCCACACCACACTGGCAGAGAGCCATGCAACACCAACAAAAAAAAAAAAAAACAGCATTTACAGTATGTCCTAATGCTGACGAGCTTTAAAAAAAACTCCATCTCAGCTACAGCCCCTCTGATGACATTATCTTTAATAATGTACCAAGCTACACTGACTGTAATTACTACTCAATTAATTATCCTAAGACGCTGCATAGGAGAGCAACAAGACTAATGACAAAAATCAATGGTGGCCCTTTCTTTCCCCTGCTTCCACTGCTTAGAAGGCATGGTTGACTGTGGTATTCCTACAAAGCATTTCTTCTCAGTGAACTGTAGCCACATTAAAAAGACAAATCTTTCACCCTTTGACTAAACAACACTTCCTTCCTAGCCAGGAGTTTGCCATGAAGATAATCACTGGAGGCTGTTGCTTTACCTAAGTGATGAACGTGTAGGAGGGGACACGTTCGTCTTTCTTCCAGCATTCGTTAAATCCTAACATGCTGTTCCTCTCTCTCTGTGTCAGCGAGTACCCTATCATTTTGGGTGACGATGAAAAACTGGGATGATGAAACAGCACAGATGCTGACGTCCCCACCCGACTTCCTCCATGCGCAAACACATGGATGGAGACATAGACACGAAGCAAAAAACACAAACACCCAGAATACACACGTCTCAGTATTCTCTTCGCATCTCACTGCAAACACTCTGAGTAACGCTAGAGCTGAGCCATAGCACAGAAAATCTCTGGATGAGCCTTTATACATATATGGATGATGAGGATGCATTTTGAGTGCCACTAGCCTGGTGAGGATAGGTGGGGGTCAGGAACGGCAGGAGGAGTGTAAGGAGAATTCAAAATAAATGAAGCAACCTGAATTATTTACAGGTACAAACTGAGAATTCAATCCAGGTTTTAAAAGGAAGTGGAAAAATTGCCAGAAAAAGCCATCCATGGTCCCTTTGTATTGAGCCTGAACTGCCCCCTCCACTATAGGAAGGCTGAAAATGTCCGTCCATTCGAAAGGAAACTGCGAGGCGCAAAGAGGCAACATATCTAACCCCCAGATTCACTACAGTTTTTCAGGCTTGAGTCACGCAGGTCTTTCCGGTCTCCCCCACTATATTTCATCAGCCCACTATCTCACAGCAGGCCATTTATTCTTTCATGGTACCTCTCTCCCCACGCTAAATATATTTATTATCCCGCTGTGTGTTGCAGATGAGCTTCTTTTGCTGTGTTTCTATTACTGGGCAGAGTGCAAGAGATCAGACGGAGACAGGAAGGATGAGAGAAAACAGAGTAAGCAATTCTCTTCACCAGCCAGTTCACGGTTGCAAGACTAATGGCGGCAAAACTGAGCACACATAATCAATATGCATCTCCCCTAATCAAACAGGCCTGATAAATCAGATGACTTTACATGCCTTCTATGGGCTGTGGCACTTAGATGCACTGTTACCCTTACTGCTAACCAAAGAGTAACAGCTCTGTTCGGGAATTCTTGATTCTCATCAGTTACTGAAAGCCCCTAGCACGTTTCCAACAGGTGCTACTAGTTGTTAACAGTAGTCAGCATGTCAAAAGCCAGACCAGCATGGAAAAACACATCTGAAGCATTCTGAAGGACGGATAATGCTGCAATAACTGAATGCTTGTAATGCTGCAGTAGTTGCCCCAGTACTTGCAAGCCATAAGCAGATACTGTTTTTTCTTATTGTACAGCAGCAGATAAAAACAATTCCTTTTATTGCTGAATGAGAAGTCAGCTTTTATTGAGAAAAGTGGACATGTGATAAAATCTGGAAGTTTAAAATATAGTTCACTCAAGTAGCGGTTTGACCAGAATGGAGACCTAAAGCACCTATATCAAAATTCTAAAAACACCTCAATACTTGCTTTTTTTAGTGTCCTTTATAACAAAGGCAGCTTATGTATGTATGGGTTGTCCAAAAAATAATAATAAATCCCACCTATAATGAGATACTAATCTTATTACTTAATACAAACAGTACTGCCTTCATCTTCTCTAGCTGACATACAGCCTAACATACATACTTCACACAGTCTCTCCACTCTTTACCAGTTGAGCACTCAAACAGAAGCATGGCAAACAGAAAAGCACCTTAAAGAGTAACACCCTGGTCTTTATGGGGTATATTGTTGAGTCAGTAAAGCTTCCATTTCAACAACATATAAATAGTAACCAGTTATTGGAAACATTAACCTGTCCAGCACACATGTTAATGTTATACATGTAACTATTAGCAAATACCCAACTGCTACCTTAGCTGTCTGTTGACTTACCATTATTTCAAACCCATCTTGTCTGGCAGCTTTTGCAATCAGAATTATGATCAAACACATTTTGTTTTTCCAAGATGAGCTCAATAAATTCTCTATAGGCTCCTCTTTTTGTGTTTCTCATGTTTCTTTTACTGGTTTACTTTTTCATTAGTGTCATTTCAGTTATTACAGTATATGCGTAGTATGACAATGTCCAAGCTGACAGGCAGGAAAACAAAAAAGAAAGGAGGGAAAAAACTGGAGAAAATCTAATAATGAGTATTAAGGAAATGAAACGACAACAATGATGGAGCTAAGCACCAAACATTATCAGTCCTACATTCTGTAATGTAAAGAGACAATGTTAATTTAATGGGATTAAAAAAAAATTAGCACACAACTTGTGTTAAAAAATTGATTTAACATAATTATTTGTGTCTAGAAAGTGTTATGTTTCTCTTAAAAGTCACAGATTGAGGCAGAGAAAAGATCATCAGCAACTAGACAGAAACCGTGGCCACGGGTCTCACCAGTGTCGCTGAGCCAAAAATAAACAGGACTGTAGCTAAATATACAGACAAGTGTTATTCTAATATTTATTTAAAAGACAATGGACTCTTAATTTTTAATAGTAGTACTGAGTTTGAAATTCTAATGTTGTTATAGCCCTACACTTGAGTGTGAGCAACATTAATTGCTACATAGGTTTGTGAAAGATGTGTACATTTCAAAACTGCGAGTGCTGCTGACCGACTTGCCAAACGGGTTTGCAAACCTCTGGGAATTTCCAAAGCATTTGACATGCAAACCTCGAAACCCCTGACATATAATAACATTTTCTCTCAGGAAAAGACTTGCTTTCTAGTTCTTTGGTAATGTCATGTAGTCTCAGAGTTGAGGCAGGCCTCAGATCATCATGGAAAGATTGATGAGAGATGGAGAGGTGGTTTTAGACTTCTATATTTTGCAGCAGGAAGAACTTTACATATGCTAATTGTAATTTAAGGCTTTCAGTGATTTATTTGAACTGTTCTGTTGCCAGGGTGAAATGATTGTACAGCATAAATCTTTAACAAATCTCAAATACATACACTGCCACTAATATTTGATTAAAGGTCACTTAGCAAGTTGCACCTTATCTAGCAAGATGCTTTTGGCAGTTATTTACAACCTTCTATCATAACTTTGTCAAGATACTTGAATCGGTTTAAACTGGTTGGTTTACTGGGGCATGGACACAGCTTTTCAACTTACTCCATAACTTTTCGCATATTTTTGGGAATGAAATTCCAGGATTCCGCTTTATCCATTCCAAAACCAATTTACTATCATTTTCCTACCTAGAAAATCTAATTGTGTCTAAGCTTCAATTGTCTATCTGTTGAGGTAGGCAACTGAAGCTTGTAAACGAAGCTGAAGAATTTGAAGGTGGTCCTGCTACATTATTCTATCCACGCTGTGCAATGTAGAAGTACCACTGGCAGAACAACAGGCCTGGAACATGATGCCACACCACCATGCTTCACAGCTGGTGCAATGTTGTTTGGTTTGAAAGCCTCACCTTTAATCCTCCTCCTACTTGTCATTGTAGCCAAATAGCTCAATCAAGGTCAAGTTTACTTATTTAATCAATGTCTTGTCTTTCCATAAAATCTTTTTCCTAAAGGCATTTCTGTGGGCAGCTGCAAATTTCATTCAAGCTTTAAGGTGTCAATTCTGAAACAGGGGCTTCTTCCTTGGTCAGCACCCACTAAGTCCAAGGGGGTGTAAAACTTGCATCACTGTAGACAGTGATATTTGTATTATGTAAGTTTCCAGTTCATGGCAAGAGCCTTGATGATCCCTTACCAGTTTCCCCTCATCTGACATTTTGGTGACAGTTTGGGTCTTCTTCCAGACGTTGGCACGGTGGTGACATATCAGAATAACTTGTACTTTTTTTAACTGATGATCTTAGATTCTGCATTTGTTTAGAAACAGCTACAAAAGAAAACTTATAAATCTACAGTTCTTTTTTTAGATCATCCCATTCCCATTGTTCTGATCATTGGTCAGTCCAGTGAGTGCTGTCAAACAAATTCTTTTTATGCTAGTAAAGAGAAACTACCAGTTTTAGTGAAAACCTACCTCTCAGAATCAGATGGGAATTTTATTATGAACTAATCTGTCAGTTAGGTTAGTTCCTTGTCAATTTGCATATACAAGTGAAGTCCAAAGACAAAAAGCAGCAATCTGGCACTGGAGAATTTTTGGAATTTTCCCAAAGAAGGATTTAAACAGCTGACTGATTTTTTAATTAAATGGAAACCTATTTTTAGCACACATTTTTTGATCGTGGAATCCAAAAACAAGTTAGCCTTGTTTATGTCTATATGGTTACTTCCTGCTTTTGTGCATACCAAAGCTTCCATTCTCTTAACTGGTGACTGCATCACATGAGGCCTTGGTGTACTTCACCACTGAGCAGAAGAAATATTTTCTACAGCACTGTAACATAATCCAAATAAAAGACTGAAACTTCACGTGCGAGGTTTTTAACCGAGCTACTGAGTAGGAGGAGATCTAGTAGTTACCATGGTGCAAAAGGAAAGGAAACTGAGGTGCTGCATGGGCGATGTTGTTTTTATTTGCTTGCACTGTTCTCCTTGAACACAAGGCAGGGCTTCCACAATAATACTATCACATTTTTGCCAGGCTCCACCTCGCACAGATCACACTGCTGCCTTCAAGGGCTTGAATGAACATCAAAGGCAACTGTGTGATTTTGCATTCCTGTCAAGAGCATTACAACCTCTGGAGCTTCCCTACTCATGAAAAGCCCCCTCGTTCCCACAGCCATCTTTAATGATTTTCTAAACACTCCGGGTTTAGCGGCACGGCACATCATAGTGTGAGAGTCAAGTAAACACACGAGGCTTCCACTGTGCCTTTTTGGTCACTCTCCCTCCTCTCCATCTTTCTCCCTCTTCATGATGCACGTGTACCTCCCGTGGGCAAGGGGAGGGTGGCAGAGAAAAATCAGGAGGCAGAGAGCCAGAGCCTCAGATACCAGCACTGCATGCATCAATGATAGTGTGGCTGGCTGCCCTGCACAAAATATTATTTACAGCTCACGCTGAAGAGAAATTACAGCAGCAATCCTCTCCTCAAGCAGGAAAACCAGCTGACCTGGCAACACTTAGAGAGAGGCCAGGAGGAGGGTCAGGAACTATAATTATTATATTGCTTCTCCCTATTCACTCTCAGTGTCTATACTGCTCACACAGCGTGTGAGGGATTCAGCTCAGTGGTGACAACAGGTTACTGGTGCATAAGAAGTGGATAAAGAGGCAGTAAAGGCGGTGTAGCATTTATAAACGCAGATACTCCACTTTCAACTAGCCCACTCATGATTAACCGATGAGAAGGGCAATGAAACCAGTGGATGAACTTTAAAGAGGCAAGCATTTATTTCACCAGTTATGAAATATCATGCCTAAGCAATTAATGTTGGCAAAACACCACCTTCCACCACTGAAAAAAATGTTTATGGCCAAGCACATAGCAGGGACTGTGCGATTATGCTTCCTGAGGACAAATATGCATTCATTATCTGGTTAAATTGATTTCAACTAACAGATGTGTCGTTTCACTTACACTAAGACTAACAGTATAAATTACCCACTGTATGTACAATATATATGACCAATTTTCTATATTCAAATTTTAAGAACCTGCATCAAGTGACATTCATAGCATTTATATTAACTGAATGGATGAAATAGTTGATTTCACTAATCAATACTGAGTCAACAGATATGGACCATGAAGTCAACACAAGGTGGCACACCTGGTTTGATAGATTATGTTTTGACTTACAAGTGAATAAATTTTTGGAGCTCAGAGAATAGAAACATTTCCCTGGGCATAGGTGTCTTCTCAATCGAGCTGTAGTTTCCAGGTGTTTACTGATATTATTGCTCTTGTGCATTGTTATTTATTCTTTTTTCCCCATTTTGTATTTCTGTCATTTTTTTTGCTTTTTTAGAACTTGAAAACCATTTTAAAAGGTTTCATTATCATCACTGTATTGTTGAAAGTGTTAATGACGATAATAATATTGTTGCTTAGGATGACGACAGACTGTACTTCCCTTTATCACTGCAAAACTTGCACTAAAAGTGCAGTTGACTCCCCGTTAATGCTAACTTGCATCTGTCGTGACTTCCTGGCTGGTAAGAACTTACCTAACAACCAGCTGCTTGACTAACGAGAGCCGTGAAGTGAGACAACAGCTGGTTCGTGTTATCTGGCGGTGTGAGGAAAACTGTTTGTTGCAATGTGTGTGGATTCAATCGCAATTACAACGAAGACAGCAAAGGGGAAATACATCACGCAAGGGCACGCTCAGCACTTCATTTTTATTTGGGGAGGGGAAGCAAAACCACAGCGGTTAAACGCTAGCAGTGGCAGCTGGACGTCATAAGCTAACCGTGTGTGTGTGCGCGCGCGTGTGTGTGTGTGTGTGTGTGTGTCAGGCACACATACCCAACGGTTCAGTCTTCTCCGTAGCATCTTTTTTTCCTTTAATTTCACAATGCTGATGAACTCTTCAGATTCAACAGACGCCTCCGGGCTCTGCTTCAGTTTCTCTGGTGAATAACTTTACATGTATGTTAGTAAACGTGCTAGCTCCTTGGCTATCTATTCTCTACTCTAACGTTAGTTCTATCTATATGAAATGCCGCAGCGACGCTACATCGTTTCCATTTTGTTTGATTTCGGTATCTTCGCACCATTCGCATTCTCTCTCCCCTCTGAATATTTTCCGCGTTGCGGTGTACTAGTCGCGCTTCCCGCTGCTCAAGGCTGAAACAGTGCCTGACATTTCGCTCTGAGCCCTGTTGCTTACACGCGAAGGAACCATTTGTCGCCCCCGAGTCTCGCCTTCCCGCTGACTCAAAAAGCTGGCTAACGCCACGGTAAAAACTAACTTCTCCTGCGAGTCCCCCGTGCACAGGTCGCCTCACCTCCCTGTCAAACAATTTTCACTCCAGCAGCAACAGCAGCAGCCCACCAACGTTCCCACGTTCACAAGCTCCACCCGGCGAAGGTGCGGCTTGCACTGCACTGTGGGTAATGTTGTCTAAATTCCCGTGCTGGGGGACCAGCGTCACACCAAAGGTCAGGGAGTATGGACGCCCGTCTCTAGATGGGAAGAACTTCTAGGTTTTAGTTTCATTTTACATATTTTTCTCAGCTGAATTATTTTGTGTATGTTTCTGCATTAGGCAACATCTTATACCCCCAAATAACTTAAATCAAGGCTGTTAAAGTCAGTGTACTTTGTGGGCCACACACAACCCAGGAACATTTCCTTTCTGTCACTGTAAAGGCTTAACTAAACATTTCATACCTGACTTGTCTTAATATAAGAAAAATAACTCTGTTCTTCCATATGACAAATGTATAAAATTACTGGTAGCGCATTGTCCAGACTGTTTATGAAACATTTACAACAAGTTTATGTTAATTCATAGAAAATGCAGACATTTCTATAGTGCATAGTTTAAAAACAGAAACTTTTCCTTCATTTAATTGTTTATCTATTTCTTAATACTTTGGTTTGGTGTGGGCAATGGCAATCAATATGACAAGCTGTAAAACTTATGAAGATATAGTTACAAATGCCTTCTGTTTGACAACCCTGACCTACCGGTAAATGGTATGCGCACTGGGATACAAGCAATAAGATCAGCTTAGTGAAAGCACACCAACATTGACACCAATGACAGGCAGAGTGACCAGATAGGCATAGAAACAAGCTAAATTTGAGGCAAAGAATATGTTTGTGCATTATGTGACAGATACCAAAAGGCGGTTTGATGCAATGTTATTATAGTTAATTTAAAAAAAAAGTTCTCATATAAAATAATTATTTAAAAAAAAATGGAAAAAATTAAAGATAACCGAAACTTTACAAACTAACTTAAATAAAATACGGAGAAAATATCCTTAGTTCTAGCGTTTGTTAGTGTGGTAAAACTTTCTAAAAATTTGCCTGATTAGGCTTTGAAAAACTTATATCATCAGACTTTGGATGTCTACAAGGCTGTGAGTCACTGCTTTCAAAAAGTTCTGTTTTTATGGTAATATCTATACTGGTTTTCCCAAACTTGCCCATTCTGGAAAGCCTTGGGTTTCAACCCCAAATAATGAAACTAACACTGAAACTAATAAAAACTCAACTAAAAGTAGACAAAAAGAAAAACTAGGTCTAAACCAGCCAACTCCCTCAGGACACTTAAACTCAATCATGGTGAGACAGTAACTGCCATTACTGTAATTCCTCACACTCAGTAGGTGAAATACAGAAAGTATAAACAGTTGCTGATGTCTGTCGTTATGGTTTTATTCTATAGTCTTCTTACAGTCACCTCTTCTCTTTCTGTTCTAGTAACTATGAAACTGGTTGCTGTTCTGTCTGCTAATCATCTCTGTGGCTTTGTGACTTAAGTTGATTTAGAATGATTCATTCAGAATGTGGGACATGGTCTCAGTATGTGGGACATATTGTCCCTGACAGCAGCAGTCTTGAAACACCTACAGTTGTTCAGCTCAAAGAAACTCAAAAGCCTGGGACGCTCACCCACAATACTAGGTCTCCAGTACCCAACCCAAGAGCATCTCTGGGACGTGCCAGAACAAGCCCTGACTGTAGAGTCCACAGAGGATTTATTGCCAAAGTCCAAATTCCAGACAGCACAGGAGTCCCATGGAGGTCCCTCATGCCCCAACAAGTCAGAACTGTTTTGACAAAACATCTGCAATCTTTTATTACTTAGAGTCAGTATTTATGAAATAAGAAAATCCCATTTGAAATCATTTTTATACACCTCATGCTGTTTGAGGCATCTCCTGATATGATTACAGGAAGTGAGCAATCTTTCAAGTTTGGAAGGAGGGGTTCTGAAAATTCTATTTTAAATGACACAAAAAATGATCCACAAAGCCAGCACTCTGACTGCATGAAAGTAAATCATAAAAGCAATGCTGAACGTATTTTGAAACTATGCAAATGAAATATTTCAGATCTTAACTAGAGCATAATCCAGTTCATGATTTCTGTCTTCAAATCTCCCATCAAATTCTCTTCCGGCCAGCCAAAAGTTATATGCTTAGGAATTTCTAACTGCTTTTAGAATCAATGGTCTATAAGAGCTACCATAGCTTAATGCCAACCCATGATTATACTAAAATAGCAAAAATAATATTAGCCAAAATAAGTTATGATTAAAGATTTTTTTAATTTATTTATTTTTATAGAATAGATCTGTATTAGATTATTAACTACTGGTGTCATGTAGTATAATGTGTTGTGTAATGGACAAGTATGCCATTGTGTCACACTTCAAAATGCAGAATACGCTTGAATCATGTTAATCAAGGAAACGGAAAGAACTAAATGTTCTTTATCTGAATCTTTGACCTTAAACGCCATCGCTCAGCATGCTCAAGCTAGATGCTACAGGGCAGTACAGTGACCCTTTAGTTCTGAAGTTCTTGTTTGTATTTGTGTGGGTCATAGCATGAGTGGTGGCCTCAGCAGATTTTTTTGCATGTGGCATCAGATTTGCATTCTTGCTTTGGTCACTGCCCTGCTTTAAATGAAATGTGCTCATACTGAAAAGCCATGCACTTTGTGAAACCAAAGGAAGTTCATTAGAAAAAAATGCTCACACGTTATCCCTCACATGAGAAATCAGGCATGTATTTGTGTGTTTGTGAAAGAGTGTTCTGAACCAAAAGAACAAACAAGCTACTAAGTATTCACACAGTATGTGGTTTGTGCTTAATACTCAGTGGAAACTAGATGTCAGCTCTGACAAAGAAGTGCATAAGCTTATTTTAGTCTGAAACCACAAAAGGGCAACTCTATGAAACTTATGAAAAAACTTTCAGAATAAGTTTGAAAAAAATATTAACATTTTAACTTTTTTGGTATTAATGTCTAGTATTGTTGCTTTAACACTTTCAATTGTATTCAAATGTATGAAACAATCCATTGGTTCAAACCTGAAAGTCTTAAATGTGCTGTACCGCTACAAGAAAAAACAGACCATTTTAGAATAACCACATGTGTGCCAGAATAACCTTTGGCTTTAATAAGTTTAAATTGCTTCTAAAGAACCTACTAAAATATGTATAACCAGTGGTTTCCTGTAAGAATTACCATATAGCTTATGAGATTACATGTTTTGAGAGATAAGCAACCATTCACCAAGTCCCCCTGAGAGTCACTTTTTTGTTTAAAGTCTCTTCCTCTTTGGGGCTTCTTTTTTCATAACCTGCGTGATCGTTCTATGTACCAAACTGTCTCTTTTGTTTTTATTGTTGTTGCTGTTGTCTTGCTGATTTAAACATATTAGGCCCAACCAAAAGTTAATAAAAGGCAGTTCAACAGCTGCATAAAGAGGTAGTGTCTATCACAAATCGTCTCTCAATGAACAGCTCCACAGCTGTAAGTTGGACTCTATCGCCACCACGTGACAAAAGTAACAAATTACTCATCACATTTTACTTTAATTTTTTCTCCATGTTGAATCTCAAGAAAAATGTGCACTTGTTTTGTTAGTCTTTCTTGTTTCTGGAATACTAAATCAATTGTATGCGACTTATTATTTAGTCTCAAGGACTGAAGATGTTATCTTCACTAGATGGACCGGTTTCATACCTGTGAATCTGTCAAACTTAAAAAGTGGGCCTATTGTGTGTTCTTATTTTATGTCATGTACACTGTTGCAGTGGCGGATGTTCACTGTAAACACAGCAAAAGTTTTAAATAATCAAGTCAGCATATGCACTAGTAATCAGAAGAAAGTTGGCCACATGGGAGAACACATGGGCGAAATGCAGCCTGAGGTCCTCAGTCAGGCCCTCTGTGTCCTAACAGGAAAACCAAACCAATACATCCCACAAAAAAACAACAAAATCCAGCAGTTTCTCAAGGAATCTTCTTGCATTTCAAAAAACAAACCCAGGTCTACTGGTTATGTCTAACACAATTCATGAAATTTCGTGTCATTCTGTGTTCAAGTTTCAATCTACTTGTTTATGGCTCTCAAAATTTTGCACTACCCTGCATATTAAGGTCTTCAGTATGGGACTGTAGTAACTCTAACAATACTGTGATGTTTTTTGTAGATCATACAATTTTTATTTCTGTCTGTCTGTCTTTCATACAGGGCTCTCTGAAGAAATATTACACACCAAGCTAGAGGGATCAGTACAAGATAAATAAAGATTATTATGATTTGAATCAGAAAAAGTTCCCGTGCAGAGTCTAAAAATAAGACAATGTAAAACTTCAAGTGACTACAGGGTCATAAAAGGAAATGCTCAAGGTCTGTATTAGAAAAAATGGAAGAAAGAACATATTATAAATGTATCCACAGACAAAATGGTTTTTGTTGTTTTTGCTTATTTGATGTTTTTTTCTTTTTCTTTTGCGACTCTTTGATTTTGCATGCACAACAG